TCTATTATAGTTAATCTTCATTTTAAATAAATCAACTCGGTTTGTGGTTTGTTTTTTTTTAGCGTTAGAAGAATTAACCTATGGTACATTTTGAATTTATAATTAGGCTGTGCGGTCGTACAGATTTCATAGCGTATAATTATTATTAGAAACGATTTAATTATTTTCCAATGTGTCGGGTCGATTTGGAACGGATTTTGTCCATCTATGCAATATCATCTTCACTGTTTGTATATGTTTGACAATTGCTGTGTTCTGGTTCTGTACACAAAACATACCCGACTAACATAGCAGGTAGACATACCGTAACCGAATGATTATTTGTGAAATAATTATGTACGCAATTCACACATGACAGTCAAAATTAAAAATGTATAGGTATATTTTTTTCGTTTACGTTTTAAACGCCTTAATACCTAGTCGGCCGTATTCGCTTCAGAATCCGAATACCTATTATGATGTTTCAAATTTCAACTATACAAAGTATGTACAATCGTTATTAGACCGAGAACTCAATTATACACGTACCTGTAAAAAGACAAGAACGAATGCCGTCGCTGCATATTCTTTTTTCAAATATTTTCATTTTATCATTACACGCCAAAGTTTATTATCTGCAAACTGAGTAAAAACATTGGTTAGCAGGTAGGTTATACAGAGTAACATTTATTTTACATACTGTACGCTACGATTAATCTTTGCGAATAAAGGACAATTTTGAACAGAGTAGTGTCGGCTGTTTTTCCTTTGTTACAGAAAAAAACAAATGAAAAAATTACCTGCCGAACACTCGACGTTGAATTGCAAAACATTTCGATAAACTTTTCAAATAAAGTATCACCGGGCGAAAATTCCGCATCTTTTGTTACGTACTGCGTGAAAATATTAGATAATTTGCCTAACCTAAAAGTGTTTCCAAAAAGAAACATAAAAATCGATTTTTGGGTATATGTCCCCCCCCTCTGAGTTTTCCATAACCATTATACATTAGACAACAAATTAAACAAATTTAAAAATGACTAATGTCATTGGAAAATAATAAATTTTTCTGCCCCGGATTTTTAAAGACGGACACCATTGTTGGAATAGTTTTATTATTATTGTCACTGTAAATCGGGGACTGGAACTTAATCGAAAAGAACCGGTCCCGGAACCTAAAAACTCTTAAAATATTAAGAACCGGAACCCGTATTTTAAAATCAAAACAACGGGTACCCACATTGGTAAATTATTTTGTTTTATCCTCAGTGGGTTATGTTCAATTTATCAGCTATAATGCTTACACGACAGATTAAAATACGACTGCTTTGACTGCTCTTATTTTTATTTATGTTTAGAGCGGTTTTTATGTCTTGTGAAATCATGACAAGTAATGTTACGACTTATGAACTCTATTTTTGTTAAAATAAAAACTGTCCATAGGTACTTGTGAATTACAACGGTGTATTATTATTTTGTCAATTATTGTCAATAAATGACGAACGCAGACTGTTTTGGCCGCGAATTAGGGTTCTGTAATACATCAACACACGTACATCTACTGGTTTAGCCGTAATTTTAAATAGCTAGTTGCATCAGGCGGTCAAGTTGTGGGGCCATCGACAGTAGACTGTGTAAGGGAAAGTTGCTCATGGCGTGCATGGAATTGCCATCCACAGGCTTTTTTCCCTTACGTAGGGGACACGAACAATGGCACCTGACCACCAAGAGGCCATGCACGAATAAATACAAATGTATACATTTTTGTAATCGTTTAATACTGGTTTTAACTAGAACCCTTAAATAAAAATCATCATGAATCTGAACCGGAACCAGAACCTCTTAATAAAATAATTAAATACCGGAACCGTAAAAGCCAGAAGGTATCAGTCCCTGCTGTAAATATTCATAAAACTACTTGTGTTCAGGTTTCATCGAGCCGATCCTGTGCTGGAAACCGGTGATAACTTTGAGCCGTCTGACTTACTGCGCATTCCTGTGCCACGGAGGACTGCAACTGTACACGGTCGGCTCCATCCGGACCCCGTTTCACGCGTCCTACTACAATCTGGTAAGAGAGGTCGCGGGCATATTGAGAGCAGGACGTTTCGTCGATAATTTTCAGTGGGAAAACATATTTACGCGAAATATGGTCTAAAGTATCTTTTTAAATATACGTAGGTAGATAAAAGGACACAGTATTCAAAACTACCAATATTGGCTAAACTCATACGTTGTAGCCTCGTAGGTGGGAATAAACGGTCAGGAAGATTGGGTTAGGTTATAACTTATAAGGCATAATTTAGTTTGTATCTAAACGCAACCAAGTGTGAACGAAAAACGAAAAACAATTTGGACACATTTTGGTGAATTTGGAAATTGTACCTATTCACTTTTGACGTCACGCTAACCATAAAATGATTAAAATAATTTTAAATATATTTACATGCCCATATTCATATGACGTGTCTACGGTGGCAGTCTAGGGTGCCTGGGCCGCCCCTGCAATTTTCAAAAAACACCGGTCAACCAAATTTTGTTAAAAAAAAATTTCTTATGCATTGTTTATAACAAAACATTATTCACTATCAGTCTATCATTTTTGTTATTCTTGATTACTTAATTATATGTCGGTGTAATCCAAGCCCGAATAATATTTCTGTAGCTAAATTTAAGGGTACTGAAAATATTATACATTACTAATTGTAAATAGATAATACAGATTTTTTTAAACTATATAAATATTTAATTAGGGGGACTAATATCCCCCCCATTTAAAGGGGATTTTTTTTGATTTGTTAAGTGGCATCGGTCATTAGCTAAGTTACCGCTGCGCATGAAGTCTAATCACGTCTATGCCCATATGTAATTAGAAAAAAAGTATTAGTTAAACAAAATGTCTAGGGGGGCATGGCACCACGTCTCATCGATGTTGAATCGCAACCCATAAAAAATATATATTGATCATTGATAGAAACTCTTTAGCTTTTTCACCGGAGACTGTTTTCGCAGATATGGCTGTCTCTCGGCGACATTACAATTTCATTCCTGGCGGCCTTCTGTTTGACGCTGCTCTACGAATCGCCCATTCTCGGGTTGGAGAAAATCTTCTTCGCAAAAGGTTCAGACGACTTCATTACATAACTAATAATTTACAAAACAACAGTGGTCGGCAACCTGCGGAGATACTTTCGTGGCCCACCAATTCGATGGACTTTTTACCTTGCAAAACTCTCATTACAGAGTGGAAACAAGCAGAAAAAAAGGGTCGTCAGATCTTAAAAAGGTTGCCGACTACTAACTGGTCTCAGCTTTAACACGCGTGTATGCAATAGTAAAAACAATACGATTCTTTTCAGGAAATGAATCTCACCGTTACAAAAAAAACATAACGAGGGTCACTAACGATTCTAACGTGAAACCGGAGAAATTTCAACAGATAAACAACTGTCTGGAAGTCTAGTTCGACAGACATGAGAATAATATTTAGATTACGACTTTGAAGTAAACTCCTTCAGATTTTCTATTTTGTGTAATTTATGTACTAAATTAATACTCATGCCATAAATTATCTGTAAAAAAAAAAAAATGCTAATATGTTTGTCTCGTTTATAGTACAAGCTTACATAAATCGATATGGTCAATACATAGAAATATTTATATGGCTGATTTTTGGAATATTTATATATCAACCTATTATATTTTTATCGAAGCTATGTTCAACAATAATTCTATAGAAGAAGAGATTAGAGTGCCTATTTTGGTTTATTAAATATTGTTTCAGGAATCGAATGCGATTCTTTGAACATATTTTCTGAGATATGAAGTTAAATTTCTTTAGTGCTTGTAAAAACCATTTGTATTGACACTTTCCTAATATATAGTTCTTTGTAACTAATCTTTAATAATTATTGCAGTGTTTTTTTTTTTTAAAAAAACTTATTTGGCAACAAAAATAAATACTCTATATTTGCTTTTAAAATTAATCATATTTGGTTTTTTTATTTCACAAGTCACGTATTTAACATAAAAAACAAATTCAAAACATGCAACAATAAAATATTCTTACATTTTTATTTCAGATTACTGAACCTTTAACCAACATCTCAAACAGTAAATAGAAAATAATAAATTATTATGTTCACATAATCATACATATTTCACAGTAAACCTACCTAATTTACTTTATCATAATAGGTGTTCAGCTTCTTTTGTACCTAATTTCTAAATTATATGAATGTTTAAAAAGATCTTCTTAGCAATTGTGTCATCAGTATTCAAAATCTTTAAATAATTTTGGTAAATTTCTTTATCATACTATAATTATACACAATATATACAACTAAACAATTCATAGGTAGTATTAATTTAATAACATTATACTACCAATACATCAAAAGTGAAAACTATCAATTTGCTTCATAAATAATACAATATATTACCAATCAGAGTATTTTAAGAGTATATTTTCTTACAGACATCAAATTTTAATCAACAAGGGCTAATATACTTAAACATTGCAATTAACTATGTAAAATAACTTTGTTCACATAAAAAGAACAATATAAACAACAAATACTAAGAAATACAAATTCTGTAGTTCCTGAACATGTAATACGTAATCAGAAATCAAATACCAAAAATGATTGCATTTTAGAAGAAAACATTTGTTACTGAAATAAGGAAAAAGAAGTTTAGAGAAAAAAAATAATCAATCAATTATATATTGAGTGTATTGTATATTTTAAATAAACCAATAGAATGGTACAAAGAATAAAAATAATTTATGAGAGTCAACTTAAAATAAAACTATTAATTTTATGAATTTTCGGAAATGCCAAGCAATCTCAAGTAAAAAATTATATTAGGTTATTGTAACAAAAAAAAAAAAAAAAACCATTAGAATTTCTGTAGGAATACTAACAGAAATTTAAATTTCATTATAGAGAACAATAATAAAATTGGGTCATACTAAAGTTCATTGATCTGAACCTGTATCATCGGCGTTAAACTTTTATATCTTAGGAATGTGATGTACGACGTTGTCTCGGCGAATAGCTCCTGGAACGTGACCTTGAAGGCGGTGCACGACGTTTAGGTGAGCGTGAGCGTGATCTAAAATATAATTAATATAATTATGTAAAACTATATTACACACAATGTACTAAAACCATCTCAATCTCTCTTCATTTGAATATTTATTTTACATACTTGTTACTGCTCCTATTAAAAATCTTAAAAACATTGTCATACATAATTGTTTAAAAACAAAACAAAAAAAAAAAACTAAATACCTTGTAACTTACAACTCTCAATTTGTCAATGAAAGAATAAATAATACCACATGTTGTTTAGATGGAGAGTGTGAGTGGAGACGTTAAAACAGCCAATAAAGCATACGAGTGCTTGCGAAGAGTTGATCGTAGGGTAGAGGCGTTGGAAGAATATTGTAGAATAGTGCAGAATAGGCTGATCCGCCTGCATGATGTTAAATAACACGGTACGGTAATTCAATTCGGTAGAATTGATGGAGCGAAGTACGAAAATTGTTGGTCAAGTCATATTGTCAGTGAGGTTTTTTTATAAGATGGGATGATTAATTTTTTTTAGTATGGGCGATAACCAATGATCCTTTTCCTGTAAATTATCCCAAAAATAAAAAAGATCCAATTAAAGCCCAATAAGAAACAATAAACAAAACAAATAATAAAAAAAAATAATTAGGAACAATTAACTGTCCTAATTAACCTCATAATAAAAAGACTTATCAGAATAAAAGGTAGGACAAGGAAATTAAAAATCAAAAAAAAAAAAAAAAAAAAAAAATATTAAGTAAGGAAGGCAACCATTCAAAAATGCATAGGAATACAGAAACAAATTTAATGATTTGCTAAAAGAAATAGTAAGCCACAATTAATTTTTTTTTTTTATGTTAATTAAACAGACAAATAGATTTAACACATTGTTCTACTAAAACTTTCAAATAGAAATAAATTATTTTTTAATAAAATGTTACCTTTCGTTATACCTATCGTTATAACGAGGAGGACCTCTGTTGTATCCTCCACCTCCTCCTCCTCCACCACCTCCCCTGCGATCGCCACCACCACCACCGCGGCCATCTCGCCCACCTCGAGGACGGTTGCTAGACATTTCTACACGCACACGGACTCCGCAGATACGGCTAAACATGAAGAATGCAATAAGTAATAATTTAACTAGCAATTATTTTCAAAACATATAATTTGACAACTTAATCACAACTTACGTTCCATCAAGTCCCCTGACTGCATCTTCAGCATCTCTTGGATCTTCGAATTCAACAAAAGCAAATCCAGGTGGGTTTCTAGCAATCCATGTGTTTTTCAATGGGCCATACTTGGTAAATGATGCTTCGATTTCATGTTTTGTACCGTTTTGTCCCAAATTACCAATATAAACTTTGCATGATTGGTCCCAATCACGATGTGACATCTTTTCTTAATTTGTAAAAACTAAAAATAAATAAAAATGACGAATTTGAATAAATGTAATACAAATAATAAATATTATCATTATACAAGTAAATACAGAAGATATTTTTTTTATAAGACATTTTTAGTTTGATTATTACTAAAAATGTTAAGATTAGTGAGGATCTAGGTCTTTTCGCCAAGAAACAACAATATCCCTTAGCCATATTTATTTTGAAGCTTGATGTGAATTGTTACTAAAAATTTGTTTTCTTTTTTAATTTTCCTTCAAAACAAGTAATAGGGGGGGGAGGGTTTAGGTTATTTTCCATTATGAATATTATACATTTACAAGAATATTAGTACGTTCAAGTACATTTAATTTTGAATTATTGTTACCGATTTTTTAAATATGGATGACAAATTAGAAAATAAATACATGATTAAGTAGATGTATAACTAAAATTAGATAAGAGAGGTTTAAAAATGTAGATTAAAATAGGCCATGTATAAATATATATTGGAATAATAATCATAATATATATTGAACATTTAGTCGAAGAACAGATCTGATACTAACTAATAACAGACTATATTTCCACAAGATTCATTTCTTCAATTTCATACTCAATCATGTATAGGTGCATGCTGTTACAAATAATATTAAAAACAATTAGTTCAATGAATACTCCTGAACCATAATATTTTTTGTATTTGACCAACTTCTTATTATAATGAACTAAGTTTGTACTTCAAAAAAAGTGTATATTTACATTAGATTATAATAAAGAAGACACTTTAACAACTGAAAATGGTTTGATGACAAAATGTCAAAAGTGATGATTAAAAACTATTTTTAATTGTTGATGAAAACAGATATTATGAAAGATTTAATAAACAATAATAATTGGATTCCAACTTCATCCATTTTTAATTTTTTTTATCTGATCTGTTACATTCGAAAAAAAAAAAAAGATTATGTTAAAAAGGTCTTAAGTCATTACTATAATCATATCTGCAAAGTTTGAGGTGAAGCCTTAAACAATTTCATATAAAGATGATGATGCCGATTGATGAGTTAAGTTTGATTGATGGTGTTTTCTACATTATTCAACTTACCAAATAATTTTTGTTTATTCTTGAAGGTTGAAGAGTTACTTGTAGACTAATAACCCATAAAATATATTCTGACCACATTTTAAACAGTTTGATGAAATAACCGTAGTAAAATTTGATGTGATTATATATCATAAAAGTTTTACATTATCAATGCCTTTGCATTTACAGTATTTTTCAAATTTAATTTGTGCGAAATGTCTTAATAATTTGCCAGCTATTTTCATATCAATATAGCTAATGCAGTTAAAGTAACTTAAGACAAATGGTATTGAAAGTATATAGGTTACTGTTGTCAAGATTGAGCAGTTTTGAATAGTTTTTATGTACCATTTCAAAATTTTGCATTTGTCATAATTTTGAAATGTTTATAACTGGAATATAATAATCAACTAACATACACAAGAAAAAACTGTAAGAGCCAATGAAAAATATAATTATAAAATATACCAAACTGAAGGAAACACCTGAAAAAAAATGATATAACTTAATAAGTATTCTGTTTTTTAATAATGTAAATTATGTATAACCAACAGTTTGATTAAAATAAAAAAAAAAAACATTAACCTTATTTACCAACGATTAGGTATTATTTTTATAGCATTATACTATTTTGATTATTATTTTCACCTTATGATCTGCAAGGATAATAACAAAATATAAAAAATATAAACTTTAAATTTTACCAAACAAAATAAAATAAATGGTTTATAACACACGATTTATAAATATTATGAATTATTATAAATATATTTATTCTATTTATACATGTCATATAAATTTTCATCATATAGGTTATAAATAAAAAGGAAACAAAATATTTAATAAGTTATATTAATATACTTACTGGGAATTGTATAAAATTCATTTTTTTAATTATCTAGTTGGTACAAACAAACTTTGATTACAAATAATACAACACAATGGATAATTATCTTATTTGTACATAAAAAATTAAACATTAGATACATATATTTTAATTATTTTATGCAATTATTTGATTTTAAAAATCTTTGAATTATCCTATAAACGTAACCTGGCTTATACCCAACATACATAATAATATAATAAACTTGTTTTAACGACTACTTAATCAAAAATGTAGAATAACTGTTAACCATCAGCTAAATAGATATATTATTATATAAGAATATATAAGACTTACTTACAAAAATAATTTACGAAAAACTGTATAAGGTATTACTTTATTATAAACACAATATTTTATAGTTTCTTTTTTTCAGACTTTGTTATAGTTTACATTGTATGCATCCACAGGAGTGGACTGACACCACATTTGGACTTAGGTTTGAAATGGTCCCAAAATTATTTGTATTATTATAGTACTGACTAGATTGAGATACAATTTTGGATAAAGATGTGCCTGCCTCAAAATAATTACTTTAACAAAATTATTATTCTTCAATAAGATTTATGATTCCATGAAGGACTTTTAGTGTCTCTACCACCAGACTCAGTTTGCATAGTCTCCTATTCTTGTTCCTCGAGAAATATCTGACTTATAATAATTCTCATAAAACCGTAACCTATCTAAGACTTCCTTTTCTTCCAGTTTCCTGGTAAAAATTTTGTTTGCTACACTTTCAGATCTCCGCCCATGACCAGTCCATTATAACATTTTCAGATGCATTGATAATAGATTTTTAACGGAATTTTATAAAATAGTTCACAAAAATGAGAATATAGATTAAAAAAAAACTCTATTGTTACTGATGTTGTACATACTACTGTATTAAGCTGCATTTAAGTAATAAAACTGTACAGGTTAAAGTGTACATTATTTTAGAATTTTATCGGCAAACAGTGGCCCTAATATATGGGGCCAGTCAGTGATCGCCAATGAAGACAGCCGGCCTCTGTGTACAAAGCCACTTTATTAAATTCTATTTTTAACTTGGCATTATCGGTGGTCAATTAATATACTATCGTATCAATATTTCAATATAACTTACTGAATGATTATGATGGTATAAACTTTTAATTAATAAGAGACGACTTTGATTAAAAAAAAAAAAAACTCCAAATATAGATAAATAAATTGCACTGGCTAATGAGAAAATAATAAAGAGCTGTAAAAATACATTATAAATAATATGTGCTTTTATGGTTCAATGACTAAAAATACTATTAAGTTAAAAACTGTCAAGAGCATGGTGAATTGTTACCTAGTTTAAAATAAGCGGGTAGATATTCAATTCTTCTATTCACTTTATAATTATTCCTTAATTAATTAAATAGGTAGGTTTTTGTAAACGGTTAGTGAACATTATTTAACAAGTTAACCATATAGAATAGAATATAGCCTGCCAACATGATAAAAATATACACGTTTCGTATCATACTTGGCAAAAGCCAAAGAATGTGCACACATATCTAGATAGTTAATTACAATATACGCTACAGGTTATAGGTAGCCATTACCTAATAAATATCGATCCGTAGGTAAATCCTGAAAACCATATTTGATTTTTTTTATTTATCAATCTTAACTTTTTAACATTTCCCATTCCCTACTAAAATTTAAATACAACGATAATAGTGTAGTGGCATAGTATATTTTAATTTTCTACTCAAAGTTAATAGTTATTACCTACACATTTTACGAGTAAAACATTGATTAGAGAAATTATCATAACACATAACACCTATTAGTAACACAATTATTAGGTTCCCACTGTTCATGATGGGTGAATAACATACCTAATATAAACGACATTGGACATACAAATCGCATAGCTAATGGCTACCCGCCCAAGTATTTTTGAAAACATGTCGAGATCCGCGTGCCCGACCGTACAAGTACCGTCGATCCGAGTCGAACGGAACCCGAGTACACTCGAAACGGGTTTGACGAGAGAAAACGTCTCGATTAAAGACCGTTGTAGGGAGAACATTTCAATCGGAAATAGTTCACCGCAGACCTGGATACGGGGAAAACGTAAATAGAAAGAATATATCGTTACACAGCGGCGGCACGAAAGTATCGCGCACACACGCGCGAGCGGTCGGTCCCTTTTGTTCGGCGACGACAAACGCGTGATTCGAAAAATTAAATCGGCCGTAACATTATTATTATTATTATTATTATACTCACATTATTTTTGAGATGTCATGCGGCCGGCAACGCACAGGGTACGCGACAAGAGAAAACCCTTTGACGACGTGTATGAGTGTGCAGGGCAATGGTTTTAATGCCCGTGTTCGAACAGAAAAAAAAAAAAAAAAAACTGTAGTTGAAAAAATTCGTAACCAAACGTTCGCACGGGAGGGTGGTTCACAACAGATACGGAAGAATGCCGTGGAAGTAGCGTTTGTGGCGGTCTGACGGTCGTTCAATGTTCAGACGGTGCGGAGACGGGAAACGACAATACGACATATAAACAAAATGGATGACGACCCGGACGCGACGGCGGTGGTGCAACGTTGCCAGCTCACGTAACCGCAGTATGGAAATGAAAACGCCGGTACGGTCGGCAACGTCGCACCGCGGTTTTCGAAATTGACAATAATAACAATAAACAACTGTTTTTATCAATACGTCCTATCAATATTTACAAACCGAAAACACCGCACAATATTGACTATAATTGAGCACAGTTGTTGCAAAACTACCGCGCACAGGAGATAGATTATCGCCGTCCACAGACACGGATTGATAAGATCTGAAGATCGTGTTGAATAATCACGGCTCCATAACACTCGCATAAACATAATATCCGTTTTCCATATTCCATTGTAGCGTACTTTACGCAGAAAAGAAAGACAACGAATAAAAAAATAAAATTAGAATATTCATGACTGTCTACTCTTTGTACCCACGGAACACGACATTAGCATAACGTCTGTCTCGTCCGCGTTTATGCCCAGTAGGTAAGAAATTGTCTATTTAGATCGTGAACCGTGGTCCATAGCGGCCATGACTTGTCGTCAGTTCAAGCCGTTCAGCAGCGTGCCCGAACTTAGACGGTGGCCGTTCCTCGGCCACACGTACCTTTTCATCCCAAAGATCGGTAGGTAGACTGACCGGCTCGAGGCGGTTCGCGTTTGCTAAGTAGGTGCTCTATGTTTCATTTTCGTTTTAACCGTTGCTGTAGGACCATATGACTCGGAACGGCTGACGGAAGCCATGGCGCACATAGAATGCCAGCTGGGACCCGTTTTCCGTCTGGTGTTGGGCGGCCAGACTATGGTTGTCGTCACCAAAGTGGAGGACTCTAAAAAAATGTTCGCCGCCGAGGGCAAGTACCCGTCGAGACCGACATTCCCGGCTCTCGGTCTTCTCAGACAAAAATCATTTGGCACCGGAGGATTGGTATCCGAGTTAGAATATTCATTACTTTATTAATACAGTGCCTACACTCATTACTGTTTTTTTTAACACTAATTTTTTTTTTTTTTTTTATGTCTAACCGCTGCTCGACGTTTTGTATAGATTCCGTGTATGTTTTTCACGATTTTATAAACTTACGGGTCAAGAGTTCAAGGTGAATTACAAAATATGTAAACAACATTTTTGTTTTTAATTACCTTCCGTAGATTTGTTTTGAGTTTAACACGGTATTTGAATACAAGACGCTGTTATAGATATTAGACACGGTTTAATAACACCTGATAATCAAATCGTAGGACATTAAATCCCATAAATATTATTGTAATTTTATAGTGATATCTGCACAATTTCAAAATAATATTATTTTCAATATTCCCTTGTAAATAAACGTATATATTTTGTAGTTTACAGTTAAAATTAGTGTTATACAATATAGTAGTACCTTATGCAAGATTGTCAAAAAAAAAAAAATATATGATTACTTGCAGAAATGGTCCTGAATGGTATAGACTGAGAAAAGCTATTGCCCCGTTAATGGCGAAAAATGTTTATGAGAGTTTCATTCCTCAGCACAAAGAAGTGGCAGAGGATTTTGTAAAATATATAAAGGCACACTGTGACAAAGACGGGTGTTTGAAAGATTTATTTTACCATTTGACAAAATTTTCTATCGAAGGTAAACAATAAACGCCTAATAACACTAAGGTCCTTGTTAATATCATAATAAAAATGTTATTAAAATAATAAAGTAAAAATAAAATTATTAAATTGGTTAATAATATTCATAAATAATTATGCAAACAAAAAAATGTATGCATAAAAATAAAATTAATTAATTAATGAATGCGTCGCTTGGAGTATTATGAAAAGTGTATTATACGACCAGTTTCGAATTAAATACTCATCATCAGGTATAATACAGTCAAAATGTAAAATGCGACTGAATATAAGAAATTAAATAAAGGAATACATAGACAAAAAAAAAAAAATTACTCAAATTAGTCGTTTTACATAGAATATAGAAATAATTTATTTTAATTGGAGAGATTATTTGAAATTTAAATAATTTTAAAATAAAATATTAATTTCGCTAAACATGTTTTTGAAAATAATTATAATATAACTTTTGATATTATTACTGACTTAGAAGTATTAAATACCCGAAATAACATTTACATTAATTCAGTTTTAGAAGAATTACACGTGCACAAGGTAATAAAGAAAAATAATTTTAATAATATTTTTATATGTTCAAACCGATTTAAAAAATAATATCTTTTATTAATACATTTTAGATAATAAATAATAACCAAATAATTTATATTTCTTAACATATTTATGTCTAATAAAAACTAATTTTAAATAATTTCTTCTATTAAAAAAATTATTTCTATGTAAAACGACCAATTTGTATAATTTTTTTTTTTTTTGTCAATGTCTTTTTTTCATTTAATTTTTTATATTTAGTCGAGTTTTACATTTTTACTGTATATACCTAATGATGAATTTTTAATTTGAAACCGGTTGTATAATACACTTATCATAATACTTCAGACAACACATTTATTTATTTTATTTTTATGTATACATTTTTTATTTATATATTTATTTACTATATTTATAAAAATTTTGTTTCTTTTTAGCAATTTCTGTAGTTTCACCAGGTTTAAGAATGAAAAGTTCAAATAAAAGTGTATCGGACCGTTATGTTGAAGCAAGTAATAAATTTATGGATGGACTGTACAACAGTCTTAAAGAACCATTTATATGGAGGTTTTTTAAGACAAACGCTTACAGAAATCTAGAAAGCTCTCATTCCACTTGTAAAAAGTAATAAAATATAGGTCATCCCTTTTAGTAATTTGATCATTTGAAAATTTACAGTTTTATTGACGAATACATGAAGCAAGCAAACGAACATAATGCCCTAGTGAACGCTTTGTGTACAAATTCAAATTTATCCAACACCGATGTAAATTTACTTTTACTGGAAATATTTTTTGGTGGAATCGACGCTGTTAGTATTTAATGAAATATTTGATTTATATCTGTAAATAAAAATAACATTATTATTTGTACTATACAGACTGCTACCACTTTGGCAATGACATTGTATTATATATCTCAAGATGAAAGTGTACAACAAGGCTTTCAGGGGAACATTGAACAAGATATAAAGGCATATTCAAAAGCTTGCATTAAAGAAACACTGAGATTATCCCCTACAGCGGGGGCCAATGCCAGATTCCTTCCCAAACCGACTGTAATTAGTGGATATGAAATCCCAGAAAATGTAAAAACCAAAATATTTTAAGAATTGTAATATTTTAACTTTAAAAATTTACATAACTCACTTTATAGATATGCCAATATATTTTATATGGATACAGCTATAGTATGTAGGTTAATATTTAGCTTATACTAAGTGATCAACTTAATGTAAGACACAAAAGAAATTAATAACTTTTTTGAAATTTGTTTTATAGAACCAAGTAGCTTTATAACATTACGTTGATATTATTTTTTATCACCCTCACATTAGAGGGTGAAAAAACTATCTACTTTTGGTTTTCAAATAGTTACCTAAATTATAAATTCCATAATAGCTGAAGTTAAAGTTTAAATAAATTTTGCTGTTCACATTTTTAATTTCTGTCAGTCTATTTATGAGATATTTCACTTTTAAGTTTGCGTAAGAGAAGTTAGTAGTGGAGTATCATTTTTATGGCAGAGTGAAGGGTGTAAATAGTGCTCCGTTACTCCCCTACCAACAAAACTTATAAATGAAATATCTTGTGTCGGAGCTTTTGTTACTTTTCAACATTATGAGTGTCTTTTACGTTATATCAATCACTTGTATGTTGATAAATCATTACAGTCAAACAATTCTGAGTAGCTCATTTGTAGTTTTTTGATTTCCGTCGTTGAATATCTATGGGTTGTGTAAAACAATCAAGTGTACCGGTATACAAAATGTATTATGTCCTTAACATAATATAATATCATTAGATTTCTAATAATAATTCTAGAAGATAAGTAAAGATTAGGTGACCTAACTTAATCAAGTCACCTACTAACAAAAGCGAATTTGGTACTTTTCTACTGGCTCTTTCATCAGACTTTGATACGGTAATTCCCTATCAGAGCTACCCATAGACACATAAAATAATAAAACAATAATATACCTATTATATATTCTTTAACGACTTTCTATCTCCATGATATAAGTAATATAAATATTGCAGATGTGCTTATCCAATAAATACTAGATAAACAATATTAATGTATGTACCATGTTAATGATTTAATTTTAGGGATTCAATTTATTAATAGAAAATAGTCCGGAATTTAAAAAAAAATATCGGGGCATTTGAGTTGATACCTAAATTTACCTTAAAAATGTCCAATATTGATATTGTTGTTGATCCCAGTTAGTTATTAGTTTTAATTTTATATATATTAGACATTAGTGATGGCATTCAATTCTTTAACGTCGAAAAAAGAAGAATACTTTGATGCCCCATTTGAATATAGGCCCAGTCGCTGGTTAAGAGATTCTAATGTTAAGAAATTTGATCCTTACGCTTCGTTACCTTTTGGACATGGACCCAGAATGTGCCCTGGCCGTCATATTGCCATGCAAGAAATGACAATACTGTTATCAGAGGTATGGTTTTACTTGATATATTATATTATAATGTACTTGTAGCCAAACTAATTTTTAAAATAATACAGACTCATTCTTTGGTTTTCAGATATTTAAGAATTTTAAAATCAGTAAACCTACTCAACAAGTTAAACATATCGGCATGATCTATCGTATGAATAGAATACCAGATAACCGTATAGATCTAATATTTAAAACCAGATAATAAATACAATTTTTATATGTAAAACATTGTTTATATATATATATTTTTTTTTTCATTTTTTTTTCATTTTATCTAAACAATTTTCAACTTTTGTGAAATAAAAATGTATCACTAAAATATATAAAGCACGGTGCTACTAAATGGTATAATATATATATTTATATTTTATCTTATGTTCAAATATAATTACATAATGTATGTCTATATTTTTTGATATTATATAATGAAAATAAGATATTTTTTTTTTTTTTAATATATAGACAACATTATTTACAAAAAATATACAATACCCACATAATAATAATAATATATCATTTCACATTTAAACATAGTGTTGTACTAAATAAATAATAATAATAGTTACAAGACAACATGTTTAGATATGATAAACAATTCGTCATTTAGTGTTTCATAACAAATAACATGACAAAAAAAAAATCGTACTAACAAATAAAAAATAAATAATAGTATTTTTGTTTTACAATATTTTTCCTTATTAGATTGCACTTATACATATTTCACTGGAGTTTATTATTATTATTATTATATTTTTTAATTGTATAATAATAAGGTGACAGAACAGATGAGATCAACGCAAGAACGTTAACGAAATATAATAATAATAATAATAATAATAATCATATTAATTAAAATGATGTGAACAAAATAATTTATAATAATAAAATAATACATTTTTTATTTATTTTTTCTGAATATTAATTCAATCTTCTATTAGTATTCTCCAATTAACATTTAAACTTTGATCTTCCACGTATGTTATTTTCAAACAGGACAGTATAGAGCGAGATAATATTATTTTATTCACTTTAAATATTTGTGAACAAAAGGAAATATTCAATAACTCACCAGTTATATTTTAAAATTAGTAAATATTTTACATGGGAAAATGTACATACTGATAATAATACGATGTTAAGTCAACCCAATTAAATTAGAATAAATACATTTGATCATAAATATGTTGTCAGATGGATATATTAAATTGCTTATAATTAATGGACAAAAACAAAACTTAGAACAAATCAACAATCTAAAGGAATTAATAGTATATAAAATAAATATATATAATAGAATAATTAGTTGTTAACAAATTCAACAAACTACGTTCTTTTTTTTCTTTTTTTTTTACAATGTTAAAAATCCAATTATAAATGTAACTAAGTTAATCAAATAAATTATCCTTTTATAATTGCACTTGAAGAAATGTTATTGTTCATATTTTGTCAAGAAATATAAGCAGTGTTTGGTGTGCTTGTGAATAATAACAAATTTATTTTTTCAAGATTTATTTTGATAGATTTTTATGATGGAAGACCAGAGGTATTTTTGATTTTTTATAAAAATAAGAGGAGCCAACAAATAGTTAGATAAAATAAATACTCAAAACAAAACAAAATCGTCTACTTATTGGAAAATGTCAAACAAAACAAAAAATAAAAAAATAAATTAAATACAAAAAAAATTGATTTGTTTTTAATCAATTTAAACCTTGTTTTCTTGTTTCACCCCATTATAGTACGATGAAAACATTGAACTTAGTTATGAATGTTTGCTAAAAGAGATAACAAATATATACCATTGAAACACTAGAGAACACATCATCTAAGTAGCATTAATTAATTAATTAATTAATTAATTAATTGATAAGGGATTACATCCAAGGTGGCCTATTTATAGGATCGTGCATATTTAAATACCCTGGTGGTCCAAAACCCGGTAAGGATTGATGTAACATCATCGGATGCCTTTGTAAGAATTGTGAATATATTTCAGAAGGGTTAGGGGGATTGTACGCTTCTAACGGAGGGGGACCATAACCCGAAGGAGGTCTTGCAAAAGCAAACGCAGGGTTACGTTCATCTGGTTGTGCTGCTGCCACTGCAGCTTGATCTGCAAAGTAGCCTGTTGATCGCATTTCATTCAAATAATCCTGATAACCGTCCTTTATGCCTTGATTAAAGTTAAATGGTCCTGTGGAAATGGGCGGTTTTACAAGTGGCGGATAGTGATGTGGATACGTAGGATCTGCACGAGCCTGTTCTACACTCCTAGGAGTTGATTCTTGAATGGTTGGCGTTGTAGATGATTGTGGTGATGGTTGTTGTTGTGCAACAGCAGCTTTTTTCTTTTTACTAACTTTTTTGGCTGGCTTAGATGGTGGCACAGGTTCCATCATTAATGACCTGTTCATTTCCATTTTAGATTTTGTCATATCGGCAACTGATGGATGATTTGGAGAAAAAGCTGCTTGGTTAGTTTTCATCATATCTGCCATAGCAGGATTAACATATGTTGGTTGGTTGGCTTTTATCATTTCAGCCATCGTTGGACTTGAATAAGTAGGTTGACTAATATCCATTTTATTATTTTTCATAATTTCTGCCACAGACGGTCCAGGGTATGTTGTTTGATTAAAACGATAGCCACCTATATTTCCTGGTATAATATTTGGCAATGGTCGACCAGTTGTAAAATCAATATTTTGTGATTTATTGGGCATCATGTCTTGCATCGGGTGTGGGTACGACTTACTAGATGGTAGTACAGGATAATTGTAGGGACGTAAATTGATTTGATCTGAATATTGTTGTTCATAAGGACTATTAAAATTTAGTCTTGGTTGAGTAGTGGTTTGTTTAAAATTGGGAGGTATAAATTGTCCAGATGTCGTACGACTTGTATAATTTAATGGAGCAGTTGTAAAACCAACGGTGTCTTTAGTTGGATTTGAATAATTCAAAGGAGTAGAAGTATATTGAGGTGATGGTGCTGATACAAGAGTCGGGTTAGAAGCCGTGTAATTGAACAATGAATTTGGCACATTTTTCTCATCACTTTCAGATCGATCACGAGCCATTTGTAAATAATTAAGACTATTCTGGTGGTAAGTCACTGGTACAGGTTGATGTTCCGCATTTTGCTGATAAGGCTGAATTGGTTGATCATTACGTGAATAACTCATAGGATAGTTTAATTCAGAATTGAAATTTGAATTGGGCATCTGACCCGGAGCTGGTACAAATACCCTTTCTTGTTCTTTACTGGCAACAGTCGGAGTAAATGCCATTTCTGGGGGTCTCTCGCTTTCGTTATATACACGTTTCTTAACTGGGAATATATTTGGAGTTTTAGAAGGTGTATTGGTCACTTGGGGTTGTTGTTGTTGTGTTTGCTGTTGTTGTGTTTTCTGCTGCTGCTGTTGTTGTTGTGGTTGTTTATGTTGCTGCTGCTGTTGAGGTTGTTGTGGTTGTTGCTGCTGTTGTTGAGGATTCAATTCGGTGTATGTACTTTGAGGTGAATTTTGATGTGATCCAATGTACTGGGAATAAACATTTTGATTTTGTTGATAATCGTCTGCCAAACCAGTTATTGGCTCTTTGGGACTATTAACATTATTTTGAGGGCTATAATAAGGACTATTACTTGAATCTTGCGGACTCAATATTAAATGATGTGGACTCTCCTTTGGGCTATTAGCATTGTTATGCGGACTACAACTAGCATCATGGGGACTCCCAATAAAATTATGATTAGGACTATCACTAGGCAAGTCACGAGGACTGGTAAAAGTCTGACGCGGGCTTTGTCCGTGGGGGCTTGCCGTCAACACACTAGAAGGATTCCTCGGGCTGCAGCTGCTACTTTTTTCAGAATTTGGTCTAGCAAAAGCATCTTGATAGAATCCAACTTTAATAGGTGCATGCGGAATGTTTAAAACGTTTTGATAGGGCTTTATTTGCTGCTGTGGAGAATTTCCAGACTGCGGTGATAAGTAATGTTCATCCAAACTAGGACGAGGAGAGTTCCAAGAGTCATTTTGAGATGACTGTTCAGAAACACTACTGCCCGTACTTGACTTTCTTTGTCGTTTAACAGGTAATTTATCAGGTGAAACTAATGGGATGGATATAGTATTTTCCATCTTCTTATTTTCTTGAGATACATATTCTTTTTTTTCTATTTCTTTTAAAGTATAATCACAAGGCACCATATCATTCATGGCATATGCAGTGTACATTGGAGATGTTTCTATAGATTCTTGTTTACGCTTAGGAGTAGGTTGTGTCTTTGGGGCCCCAAACGCTTTAAACCACGCACTAAGATTAGGAGTTGCTTTTTCAGGCTTATCTTCTGGTAATTCTTTATTAATATCTTCTTTTTTAATTATATTTACACAATCATTAGGAGGACTTTTTTCAGATTCTTCCTCAGTTTTTTCTAGTTCTTGGTCTTCATTTGATCTTTTTGAAGAAAAACCCATAAGATCAGTATTTAATACTGTGCCTAAACTAAGAGTTGGCGCCATCTCTGAATCAGCTTTAATTAATTTTTGTTTTGCAAGGGATTGGTTATCATCTAGTTTGTTTGAAATTAGATTGCCTTTACTTTTACCAGGTTGTAGACGGTCAATGGTTCTTTGAACTTCTCTTTTTCGTTTTACAGGTAATACAATAGATTCCTTTGCGGGTCTCTTTTTTTCCTGTAGTAATAAATATTTATTAAATCCAGCTAATATAAATTTAAACTAAAAAAAAAAATTATCATACTTATACTAAAAAATAAATATAATTATGACTGAACCATATAGCCTAGAATATTATAATTAGGTGTGTATTAATGTGTATTTACAATTGGTTTTAATTTTTAAAAAAAAAGCATTGCTAAAGTGTGTGCTATCATATTATAGATGGGATATAGAAAGGTAGGATACATAATGTTATTTAATTTATATCTGTACGTAACAATAATTACTGAAGAAACACAATTTTGAACAAAGTTATGATAAACATGTTTAGACATATCAGAATTTTTAAAATTTTCATAAAAATTCAAACTTAAATATAAGCTTTAAAAAAAAAAAAAAAAAACAAAAAAATAACTAAAACAAACAAAATATGGTATTTTATTATAGATTCCTAATTGAAAATCAAAATAGTTAGTGGTTTATACCCTAGAGTGACAAAGAAATAATGGTAATGCAACATTTTAGAGCTGCTTGTTTCTTAAATATTTTAAAAAACAAATTATGTATTACCGAACTGCGCTCGGAATCGTCTTTCGTCATCAATGATTTATTGTTGCTTACAGATATAAATGAAATATCCTTATGTATCCTACATTTCCAAATTCTCATCAACAACAGTGGCCACTCCCGTCCTTAATATCAACTCGTTTTTTATTATTTCTATTATTTACTTTAAAAATGTTCATAAAAAACGACTATATTTGCTAAACGGTTTTATTTATCACTAAAAAAAACTTATGATAAACCTCCAGTAAGATTACATCTCTCAAGGTCAAAATATGCACTCATGTGCAAAAAAAATATTTTTAATAGATTTTACATGGTATGAAATGCAAACATTTCTTACTCTTATTATCAAACAGCATCTTTTGATAAAAATATGTTTTTACACAAAAATAATCTAGACTCTATTATCAGGTCCAATTGACTAGTACTTTAAATTGAAATTGTAAAAACACACAACTAATTATAATACTACAGGCAAACCAAGGTTTTACTCATGTTCAATTATTTTACAAGTATAAATTGTTTTATTATAATACAAATGTATGAATATAAATAGCATACTTTAAAAGGTAAACGTGGTTTATCAAGTTTATGAGCTTGACGATACTCTGCATCCAAGCGAGATGTAACTTCAGCGTCATCAAGAACTGAACCAGCTAATGTGGCCATTGGTGAATTACTTGCTGAAGAAAAACTAGGCGTGTCATCTAACCATTTATTTATATCCTAAAACAAATTCAATTACAACTAGAATTTACAACTTTTCAAAATTGATTTTAATATTTACCCGTAAGGTCTGCTCAGTTACTTCTTCTAGTGCCTGTACTTCTATTGCACTAGTATTTTTTATCATGACACTTTTCTTTAACTTAGACAATTCTTTTGCTGTCTTTTTTTTTGATTCTAATTTGGAATCTAAACTGCAAGAATCGTCATCAGTTTGATTGATCCCATTTTCAAATTTACTACATTAAAAAAACATAATTATATAATATAATAAGAATTATTTTATAAGATAAGTTCAATGTATTTACGTAGAGTCTGAACATTCTCGTAATTTTTCTTCGTTTTCTTTGTCAGTGTTGTTACAAGATTCTTTACTACTGATACTTCTCTGTCGATTTCTGCTTTTCCTGGACCTCATAGTTCCATTTTCGTATCTCTTGAGATATGCCATTTCATCATCAGATTCTTCAGACATCTCCCATTCTACATATTTATGAGCGCCAATATTAAACACTCTTTGTAAATTTCCACACATGACTGTGTATTCTAAAATGTAAACACCAACATAAAATCTAAAAAAAATAGGTTAGTGTTTTAAATAATTTACCATTTGTTGATCCATTGTACTGTTTACAATTAGCAATAATCAGTTGAAAATCATGTTTGAATTGGCCAAATGTTTCATACAATCCTTCATTAAGCTTGTCTTCCATTTTTTGGAGATCCATTGGAGCTTTTACTACCCTGTAGTAACTAGGCGCTATTTCTTCATCAACTGGTTCCAGAAATGGCCATGCATCTTCATGATCTTTTAATTTATTCAATATTTTATACATGCCTATTTGTAAATCCTCAGTACTGGATTTAAATCTAAGAAGGAATACGCAATATAATAAACAGTCAGTTTCAATTTAATTCATAATAAAATTAACTTACCCAGCTGTTTTAGTTAATATTTTAGACTCAGGTTTATCTTGTGAAGGTTCAATTACAATTTGACCAGTAGCAGAAGCTAATGAATTATTTGTTTGGCGACCAGTCTTCTTAGAACTACTTGATGAATAACCATGACTTTCAGTTTCACTGTCTGATATTTCATGTTCTTTGACTGTTGGTCGTTTGTCTTGTTTTTTTTTTTGTTTTTTGTTTTTTTTAATTTGTTCTTCATGATCTCGGCATAAATCTTCAAACTTTTTTCTTTCTTCTTTTTGTTGTTTAAGTTTTTCAAGTCTAGTAGATTGTCGACGTGGTTGCATTTCTAACATACGCTTTCGTTGCAATCTTTCTTTTTCTTCAAATAAACGAGGAATCTCGGGTAAAAAGTCTTCAGTAATTACTTGATGTAGTGCTTGAACATCTCTGTTGGCTGAATCTTCAGTTTTCAGAGCTAATCTTTCCCAGTCACTTTCTGTAAAGCAAACCACTTGCCATTTTCCAGAACCTAAATCTAATTCATCTTCCGATTCTGAATACACAATTGGTTCATTTTTTTTCTTGCGTCCACGTTTTTTCTTTTTCTATATTAAAATAATAGAATATATATAAATATATCAATTAAAATTAGTCTAATAAATATTTAAAAATCAATTTAAATGTCTTACTTTTTTGCTATGAACTACTTTTTCATAGTCTTCTCTATACAATCGGGTACCATAAAAGTACCAATAAGCTGATTTGTTTTCATCATACCCTAGAGGATGCACTCTCAAGCTATCCGAGTCAAGATTCTTAAGCGATTCCATGACATCATCTGCATCCAATCTGAAATCGCATAATGCATGTAGTATTTCCACTTTTGTTCGAAGTGGCAAGAACTGAAAGTCGATATCAGAATTGAATGGGTTCTGAAAACTATACTCCTAAATAAAATAAATAAATAAATAAATATTATTAACATTAATATAAATAAGGATTTTAATTATTACATTATTATATACAAACCTTGCATTTCTCTCTAAATAATCTACGCAAAAACATTTGATAATTGAAAGTGGATATGCTGTTGTTGCCAAAGCAGCCAGATAATAATCTGGCGATAAGCTCCTGTAGTAAAGAGTTGCCATTGTCTTCAGTTCCATCTGTCAGTAAAGCGGCTTCTAAATCCTGAAAAATTATTTTTAAATTACCTAACATATAAAACAAAAATATAGATGATTACTTACTTCAATATCAAAGTCGAGAAGATCAAAAGACACCCGGAACAAAGAACAGAAGTGAGCAATACTTGGAACTTCCCACCATGAATGAATATCTAAAAGCAAAGATAGTTTTATGTTAAGCACACACTAACAACAATTATAGTGAATTAGGTGACTATATTATGCAATACATACACATTCAATTTTAAGTGGACATTTACATATATTATGTGTGTATAAACTTAACTTAACTTAACTTAAATTAGATTTGGATGAGAAATATAATAATTAATTTTTTTTTTTTAACATGATCTTGAATGAATATATATATATATACCTACTTAATACATGAAGTAGTTTTTTAACAAATTTTTTTTTAGAATATAAGGCAAATAGAATAGCAAATATATAATTATAGATAAATTTACATTTGTTTATTCAATCCTCATCAATAGGTCATAATTTATCTCCAAACAATATTATTTAGTTTAAAACCTAAACAAATGCAAATAAACCTATAACAACTTACACCTAGACCTATACTATTTAAATATTAAAACAAATATTCTGAACATTGAACATTTGTATGTGTATCAATTTAAAATAACTTAGATTTTTAAAATTTTAATATTAAATTTAAGTCAATTAAAGTTTTTAAGTTAAAATAATATGATATAACTTATAGTTTTCTAAATAAATAAATGAATATGCAGAATAATAAATACATATAATAATTGTCATTATTTTTTGTATGAAACTGTTTAATATATATTACAAAATAAATGAAACTCATCAAAAAAATAAAAACAAATACTTACAATTAATAAACAATTTTTAAAAAGACAATTAACTCTCTCTATATATAAGAGAGAAACTACCTATTATTATAAAATATAATCGTCAACTGATCAAAACAAGTGTTAGATTAGGTAAAGCAGCAAACCAATGCTAAAAATTCTAGACCTAACCATAATAATACATAATATCTATCTAATATAAAACGCCTTCAAATATATTTAAACCAACATGTTACTAACTTAATAAATGTAGAAAAAAAAATAAATCTTTGGGTACAATAATAATATAATAATCAATACTTTAAACAAATATAAAACAATGCATTTTAAGTAGATTATATTATAACTTCACATGAGGGAGTGTACGCCATTAATAGTTTAAAAAATATAGATACCTTAGAAAACATTGTTTTTTTTTTAAAAAAAAAAAAAGACCAAATTAGTGACGTTTCTAAATAACTTCCCAGTTAAAATAAACAATAAAATTACAAACATCAAAAATAAAAAATGTAATTGTTAAATATAATTAAACAAAATTGTATAGGTGTATTATACCTACCTAGTAAATAGAAGCCTATTTAAATAAATAATATACATATGTATATGATGTTAAAAAAAAACGTATAACATGTTAATGTACATCAATTATTTATTATTCACCAGTAGGATACAATTATTATTATTTGTATAAACATTGTTAATTTTTTAAGGAAATCGTGATCAATTTTTTTTATAAAAAAAATAACATAATACTATTTATTGAGAAAATTATTAGTATTTTTATTATATTTGTAACAGAACTTAAGAAAAGATATTAAAAAAAAAGTACTAAAAAATAATAATAAATAAAATTGTCCGGGAGAATAATATATAACAAAAGTGATTTTATCAACTCGTTTTTAAACTCGAGCTCTGCCAATTGTTGTATAAATTACAGGTTTAAAATGTAATAAATAATGCATAAAGTGCTATCGAAATATGTATTTTATTTTCGCATGGCATTCAACGTTAAATAATAAGCAATTCTCAAATATAATATACTTTTTAGAAAAACCGAATTAAATTAAAAAATAATACATTTATGGCGTTTAAAAAATAGCAAAACGTAGAGTTTGTTACGCGAAAAAATTATATTGCGCTTAAAAATAATACCATATCGATCGCTATAATATAGTAAACCGAGTACCGAGTATATAGTTTTAAACATTAATTAACAACAGACATTAATGTATGTTATGCAAGTGAATAAACGAGACGACAAAATTGGGTTAACAAATCAAAATCGTAGAAACAAAAAAAAAAGAAATCAAAGCAAATTAATGAGTATATGATTTTAACACGATTTACATTGTTTAATCATATTAATTTGATAATAGATAGATAGATAGATAGATAGATAGGTAAGTTAAATTATTTTAAAAAACGAAAATCCAATAATTAAAGTGAAAACGATATTTTTATTAACAGGCTACTCGGGGGATACGATTGCCTATATAATAATATGACACAATGATCGCGAATATAAGACCTTGGATCGAAGAATACGAGGAGAAGGGATGCCAATAACACATTATTATTATTATTTTTTCATTGTTACGCGATGAAGGTCTTGTTAAAAACCCAATTTAAGACTAACGGAGAACGATTTAAAATCACTTACAAAAAAAATATAATAATAATAATGATAAATTATGGGTAACCAGCGTTTGAATCCGAAAGTCGAGGAAACGATATTAAATGAACTTTACAGCCGGGGAAATTACAATATTCAAACAAAACAATTTTGTATAAATAGCTTCACGAGTTTAATACAACCGAATAGTGATAGCACCGAAAAGCTTTTTATTTCGGTTTTTGATCGCAACATGACGTAGCGTCGTTTGTCAGATAAGCGCCATAAAAACTACTAATTTTTTGTTCCCGCGTTTCTATTAATATCAGGACTAAAATATTAAAACTGTATTATTAAAATTTAAAAAAAAAAAATATTCTTTTAATGCGAAACATTCAACTGTATAAATAAAACACGATACTTAATTATTTTCTTTTTGAAAATGTGTCCGCTCTTGAAAACTTAAAATGCGCCGAACTTTCAAATGTGTTCGTTTTTCCTATTGACCTTTTGGATCCAATTTTGTATTTCTTTTGCTAACGAATTGGACGGACTTTATTATTGCGATTGATAAATGCAAATAAAACACATAAAACTATAATATGTAAGTATAACTACAGGTGTAAAATAGTTGTAATATAGTAGTGTTTAAAATTGTTTAAAACGTGTTTTATTTATATAATCAAATTATATAAAGCTTAAGTTATTAGACTAGACGATCGCCGGTATAAAAATCCACGTAGATAACAAAGTTAAGTGCTAAAATTTATTTTGATGAACTAATTGTTTTGAGTAATAACTATAATTAATAGATGAGTAGTTAATAATAAAAAAAAAAACAACTGGACTTATAATTTTTATATTAACAACATAAAACTGATTTAAATAAATTACCATTTATGAACTGAAAACGCCGAGGAAATAAAACCAAAACTTTTAAAATTAATATTTATCACATCTCAAACGCGATCTAAAAAACAATCCGGTTTTCAACTTTAAGCCGCACGCAATTAACCGCGAAAATTGTATTGACTTAACCTATCTATTATCAATTATTGTTAAATCAACAACACAAATACATTTAGTGCATATTAAAACTGCAGTATATTCAAAGTTAAACTTTAAAGTATAATTAGGTAGTACGTATTTATAGAAAATAATAAAAATTACACATTTTGTAATTGAATACAATACAAATTAAAAACGTTACTACCTACGGATATAAAGAAAATTGTTTTCGAGTAGATGTCAATTGTCGATGTTTCATTACGAATAATTTTTTTTAAAACCACAAAAGACCTTGGGTAATATTTTGAAATTAACATTGAGAAGACTCATATTATTATCATTTTATCTATTAATATATTGTATACATATTATATAAGTAATTAAAGATTATTGAAAATTTAATATATACATGGCCATTCATAGCTACCACCATAATAATAGAACCTTCTTATACTTAACAAATCGAAATGTTTGCTTTTACTGAATTATGTGTCAAGTTAAGGGGATTGGAATCGGTGATTTTCTGTCTTGGTCTTACACGCGTGCACCATAGGAATTTAGACGTTACATTATTCTAACGTGCCGATTGGTCTAGCGATAAGCGACAAGCATTCTAAACACAGATTTTAATTTGTAGTCAACAGAGTTCGACTTTCCCACTTTTTTGATTTTAATTTCTCCAAACTTTTTCCATTTAAAATTCGGAGAGCAGCGAGGGATAGCACTTTTTCTGGAAATTTAGGAAATTCTATCTGGTTGGTGCATTAACGTGGTAATTTTTATTAGTTTTCCAAGGGTTTTTCAAAAAAAAAAATTCAAAACAAATTTATAAGTAAATTGAGAAATATTAACGCGGCGTTACCGATTTCGTTGTTTTAAATTTTTGTAAACTATGTTTTCGATAGAAATATTGCTCCAATAGAAAAAAAAAACAACAGACCTTTTTGGTTGCGTTTTTAATCTAGTCGGTGAGTAAGAAAGTCGTTTCTTGATTTTTCCTGCAAATCTTTCGATAATTAAGTAAAATCGAAAAAAAAATGTTGAAAAAACGGGACAATTGACGAAAATAATGTGTTTATTATTTTCAATTGTGTTGTAATTCAATAAATTTTCGTAGAAACTTGAAATGTTCACAGAAAACTAATATTTGTCTTTTCTAGAGATGATAGAATTTATAAAACATTTGAGCCATTTTCGGGCTATTATAAACATTTTAATTTTGCAAGTTTTTTTTTTATATTTGGTAGGTACTCTGTGGATAAAATTGTTTTACCGAACAGAAATGCTTGAAAATTGAACAGGAGGTTCATTATAAATTGTACTTAATGGTCAAAAAAAAAGTTGAGTGTATTTTTGTATATTTCTTTTACAAGTTAATATGTGATATTTCTTGATTGGAGTTCATTGTTTTTATGTATGCACACTGATAACTAAACATATTTTGAAATAAAAAAATTAAAGAACACCCTCTAGTAGATATATTTAAAAAAAAAAAACAAAAACCAACTGTTAAGTGAAATTTGAGTCTACGTTCCTCAGTTTTCATTATAACACATAATAAATTTTAATTGACCAGTACGCAATAGTATTTATATTATAATATACTACGATACCTATTTAATAGTTTTTGCCTCCAATTAAAATATAATTTATACGATTTATTTAAATTCCATAGTAAAACAATAATAATAAGTATACTATTACTATACCTATATTATTGTTATGCAAAATGCACTTCACGTAAATTATTAATTTATTAAATCTCCGTGTAGCTGTTGAACTGTCGTAAAATAAAATAATCGAATTATCGATAAATATCGAGAAGTGACCTCATAAATGAAAAATAATCGATTTTACATTGTTGTTACAGTCTTTATGGTACCTAATCATAAATGAAATGAAATGAACGTTAAGTAACTATGTCGTTATGGTTTTATCTCGAAATAGTTAAAATAAATAATAATAGGTGCCATGGGAAATGGATTTTACTATTAAGCTAAAATAATATATTATAATAGAGTTCGTCGCAAGACCCGTGCGCTGGTGTAGGTATGGTAGAGGCGTTAATCCCCTCCCCCCCCCTATTTTGAAATTAATACGGGAGTCCGATTCTTTTTTCAACGCCCAATTCACTCCTTTTACAAATAATTGACAGTCTGAACACTCAATCTCTCTCCCACCCCCAAACATAAATGTAATCTATACCTACACGCCTCCGAATGTACATAACGCGATAACAATATGTCAACGATAAAATAATGTTGGTAATACGTTTTTATTGCGGGTAATTAACAGTGTAATAGGCGATTGAAATAATATAATGTGTTATCGTTTTTCACGTAGGATCGTAAATCGTAAACAGATATTATAATATAAGTAGGGGTACTTCAACAATCTAATTGTGGTTCAAGTATAAAATGATGTTACAATTAGATTCAATGGGGTTTCTGATACCCTCGTCCCCCTAAATGTCAATACCTATAGCCTCTGTAATTACTATAAACGCAGTTTACGATTTTTCAACAGTCTTAAATATTCTATGAAAAATTGATTAATTTTTTTCAAGTCAAACGGTTTGCAAAAGATTGCAAAATTACCGCTTCCCCCCCCTCATTTAATTTATTTGGTGACGCCACCGATAGATGTTTACTATAGATACAACTTTCGTTGGTAAAAATACAAATTATACTAAGGTCATGAAAATCATGGGAGTTTTAATTTTACCAACGGAAATAATACCATATTATACCAGACGTCTGCCGAATAGTAGTAAACGATTGTATATATTATTCGTCTCAAATATCGGTGGTTTCCTGGGGGAATAAAAAATAAAAATTGCAAACGAATATTGCGAACGGATTTTATACGTGAAAACGGACCCCGTCAGTGGCTGCCACTCCGTAGAAAAACGAGAAATGTTACAATAAAACAATAATTAGGACAAGCCTTGGTTCGACAAAACTGATAATCGACGTACGGTTCCGTTAGAAATGCGTAACGAATTTCAATAAAAAAAAAACAATTACACGTGATGAACAAACAAATATAGGTACCCCCCTCCTTCCCTACCCCGTTATGACATTAATATTATCGTTTCGGAATTATAATATTAATCGCGTAATATTTATTCGAAAAATTTACGTAAAGTCCAAACAAACCGGACGCGACGCAGTTTCGAAAGCGAAAAACAGCGCGAGACAGACGGCCGACGCGGTGCAACACCGGTGTAGTGGCGACGGCAGCCGTCGTCCTAACTAAACGGCGGGGCGGCGTGAGTTTGGCGTGCGTGCGAGCGGCGGCGACGACGACAACGACGACGACGACGACGACGACGACGCCGACGACCACCACCACCACCACCACTACCACCGCCACCACCACCACTACCACCGCCGCCACCACCGCCACCACTCTCACTATGAAATTATTCCGTTTTCTTTTTGCCGCCGCCGCCGCAACAACTGCACGTCAGCTTGCTACCGGCGACGCGCGACGGTGACCCACGACGAATGGCCGCACGCCGCCGCCGCCGCCGCCGTCGAACGGACGAGTAGAAATAAACAATAATTATTATTACCATAGTTGTTGAAAATTTTACCAGTACAACAATAATTAGGGCCCGGAAACATATTATGCGCTAAAAACGTGCACGGGAACACGCGTGCATATTTTATGCATTTACGTACGTTCGAACACACGCGGTGAAAATGTGTTAAATGCGCGTCGACGAAAATACGGTCGCGTTAGTTAAATTTACTCGGTTTAAAAACGTATTAAAAAAAAAAAAAATCCTACTCGAATATTTTTTTCTCGATTCAAAAACTCATTTACGAACGACGAACGGTTTTACTTTTGCCGTTTCAATACGAAACTGCACGAACACACTGTCGCCAAGTTTTCATTATCCTTGCGGTACAGTACGACGAACATTATTTGATTTTATGGCAGCGAGCTCTATCTCGTTTAAACGATTATCAATTGGCCGATAGGTCGACGAGTCGATATTATAATACGCTGGGTAAATACAAATTTAAAAATGATCGAAATGTGAATAATATAACATCCTTGACCAGTATCATTAAATAAATACAATTTTTTTCCCGATACGCAATATATTTTTGAAAATGCTAAAATATACAAGAATATGCAAAATTAAATTGTGCATATACAAACATATTGTAGGTCACGATTCAAATGTGTGACTCACCTGGCCAATTTTTAATGTAACAAATAAAAAAGTGCAAATGCATTCAAATTCCGGGCCTTAATGTTAATAGTGTTAACTTATTTCGGACAACAAAAATACACGCGCGTTTTGGCGATGCATTTTTCGGTAAACGGTTTAGCTCTCTCTCTGCGTTGTTTGTTATTCGGTCGCAACATCGCCGAAACGTTTTGTTTACCGTACCGTTGGTCGTATTTTACCAACGGACCAGTAACCAGAGTAACCGAAGACGATAAACGTAGTTTTAGATTTCTAAACGTCAGTTCAGAATAATGCCTTGTGTCTCAGTTATGACCGTCCGACTGTATGGTTACTATACAGAACGCAATAGTTACGGTTGTTGATTCGGTTGACAAGGACAATAATATATTATAAAATTATCGTTATTAGTTTATTTAAATACGAGTAGGTATTAAATATTATAAATTCATACTAAGCCAATATTAAAAAAAAAAAAAAAAAAAAAAAAGAATTTTAATAAATACGACCTGTCAACTATTTACGAATTGAAACATTTAATTTATTTTGGTTTCGTGCACACGTAAGTACACTATACTGGGTTATCAAGTTTTTCAAAATCGTAAATGGAATTATAGTTTATTGTTTAAAATACGTTTAGAAACCGGAAACTTTTCAAGGTCGCATTGTGGGCTTCCGAATTTGTTGAGCGTTTGCGCGATGCATTTTTGAGCAACCTGTAAATGATTGAACGAACAAACTGCAAATTTTTACTAACCGAATACGTTTATCGACAACCAAGTTGCCGGAATCGGCGAACAATTAAAAATTACGTTTACTGTCTTCAAATACTTGTTATCCATTGAAAAAATACTGTGGTACAACAGTAAACAGGACGTTTTGACGATATTGCAACTGAGTAGCAAACAATGCGGCCAACTGTGTACCGAAAACTGCATCGTCAAAAAAACACGCCTCTTGTTTGCTAATTCCGAAAAGTGCATTCAATTACCAAACAATAGGCGTGTTTTGGCAAAGCAACTTTCAGTAAACAGTTTACTGGGTTGTTTGCTACTTGGTCGATTACTCGCCAAAACGTTTTGTTTACTGTACAGCGGTATTTTTTGTTATAGAAAACGGATAAAATTATTGGATGATAGTCCTTATCAGTAGTAACCGAAAACAGTAAATTTTCAATTGTTTGCCGACTCCGGCTAGATGGATGCCGAAAAGTTCATTCAGCTATCAAAGAAATTACAATAAACTATGACGCCAAAACGGACGTAGGCCATTCGGCTTCCGTTTTACAAAAAGGTCAATTCCCAAACGGCTCCCGTATTACAAAAAGGAAAACTCCCAAACGGCTCCGGTTTTTTACAATACAAATTCACGAATACACAAAATGTTCTATATCCATATCGCATATCCGTTTACATTTAGTAAACAAAATTGATACAATTCGATAAACTAGATAAAATTCGTTCAAAAATAATCCATATAGGCATATAACGAGGCATTATAATGTTTGAAACGTAAAATCTAAACGCCAATAATTTTAATAGATACAACAGAACTTGTTATCGTAAAAAGTAAGATATGACACGAACGTTTTCTACGTCGAATCTGTACTTATTTTGTTACGAGAAATGTACGCGAAGTACCGAATACCGGAGCCGTTTGGAAACTTACCCACTCGTACAAACCATTTTCGACGGAAATCGTTTGGAAAAAAAAACAAAAAATGAACAGGAGGGGTTTGGGTTGCGCCGGCTAAAACAATTTGTTCACTAGATTGAGATTGCTCAAAACCGCATCGCCAAAATACGCCTAATAATATCAAAACAATTAGTTCGGAAAACGAGTAAATAACCTTATAAAATAACCTGCAAGTTGCCTATTAATAGAAGGAAATCTGTGTCTCCCTGTTTGCTTGTTTATTTGTCAGGGCATATAGCAGAATCAATTGCGAGAAGAGATTTGGAAATTTAAATACAAATGAGGATGTGAAAGGGTCAGTTATGCACATACCCTTAAGGCCGGATTTACGAATTCAACACCCACCGGGGTGGCTGACGCAGGGATTTAGTATTTTTAAAACGAAAATTGAATTTTCTTTTTTGGTTTATACATGTTACTTTAAAAACACCGATGAGAAAAAAAACAATTATTATTATTAGTTAATTTGGCTGTCACAGGCAAAAGAGTACTTAACCCATTAAAAATATCAGTCAACAACATTTAACTGTGACTTGGGTGTGAAAGGGTGTTGGAAACATCAAGTCGCCTGAGAAACACGAAGAGGGAGATACGTTTTTATTTGTTGTCTACCATATCAATTTAACAATAATATTTTTTGTTCATTACTTGTACGATTAAAAATTATTATTGTAACATAGTTACAAGAAGTCATTCAAAAAGAATATTATTAATGGCGTACGTATTTGTGTTAATTTTGAACTTGAATTTAAAAAACAATATTGTTGTAAATTAATTTGCGAAATATCATGTATTATATTTTTGTTTTGTTTTATCGCGGCAGTGTTTACGTCAAAAATATATTTTTAAATTAAAAACATTTACTGATAACAATAATTTTATTTTAGGTTAAGGTTGCACAGAAATTGGTTTCTATAAAACGTTTCTAACATAGATATATTAGTTTATTTATACAGTTTTATGTAATTAAAACAACATATATATATATATATATATATAAATACCGGTTACAGACTCAATCGGAAAATTTCATCATAATCATCAACAATACCTAAAAATAATACTAATTCTATACAAAATAACCAATGTATTAATTATAAAATATTTGAATAAGAGTACCTCCCAAAATTTATTCTGTGATGTTCAATAAAAAAATGAACGATAGTATGCATTCCAAAACGCATTCAAACGTTCAGAAATTCAACTCTGTCAACTAAATTGCTATAGGTGTGTAACCGATTTTTCTGATTCATATGTTTTACATATTAGTTCTCATTTGCTGTGATTTGAATTTAAACCAGAGATACGTGCCAATTGTATTTGATAATATATAGCAAATTTCGCAATCATAATATTATATCCCATCATATCCAATGCAATTTAATAATTTTGATATTCAACAACCTTCTAACTAATCCATCGTTTAGTTTAGATTTTTGAAAACAAGGTAAGTATAATGTGCTTACTTATACATATTTAAATTTTATCTAACCTATCAATACCTAGCAACGAATTAATGAATATAATTTTATAAGTATAATATACATATAGTTATATTGTGTTTAGCAATTTTAAAAATCGTAAACATTTTTTTCCATTGAGAAATTGTTACTATTTAGAAGTGGCAATAAAAAACCATATAAACTATCGTAAATTGGATTTAAAGTAAAATTATTTTCAGTTAAAAAAAAAAAATCAAAGCACAAGACTCTAATCATTATTACAAAAAAAAAAATATATATATATATATTAAACTTCTGAACAAAACAAAAGTTATTGCCTTTTTTGTCTGATCTCCGCGGGACACCTTTCAAACTCAACCATCACTACAACATTGGCCTGCCTATGGTGCAAAATACGTCCGGCTTTCCTTTTTTTTTTTTTTTAATTATAGCCAATTACTTAATTAAAAAATAATACTGATATTGATCGAAATTGAACGCGATTAACGTAGTAAACACCATAACTGGCAAATGCAGACTAACAGAATGATGTTATTATCAATCAGCCAATTAACAAAGTCGAAATAAAATTATTAAAATATAGATAATTGTTATTCGTTAAATTTTAATGAAAGAATGTACGGGTACATTGTATATAATAATATAGCTGAACAAGAATAATAATAAAAAAAAAAAAAAAAAAACAAGTTGGTATCTATCTATAATAAAATTATAAAAGTAAAAGTAACATAAATATGCAATAGGTATTTCGTATTCCTATATAATATACATACGCATAGTATTTATCGTACTTAAAAATTCTAAATGAAACTATCAAAGATATAATATCGGAAAACGAATAATCCACCGGTATTTGCACATTTTTTAAAAATCTTAATTCAAATATTTAGCATAATTTAAAATATAATAAGATACATTATAATGAGTTGGTTTAAATAGGTACCTAATTCATAATGCTCCGACGACATTTTCAGTATTGTTTTAATGGAAATATTTCGCGGTTTATTTAGATTTGTGATCACACCGCGATTTCGAATCCTTTTACAAAACGTATTGTATAGAAAAACGGTTCAAGGGATAAAATATTATGTGAAAAACGATTATAAAGAACCACAAAAGGGTAGGTATAATATAAATATTGTCAGAGGTTTTTTTTTTTTTTACTCTCCAAGTTTATAACCGGCTAATAGTAAAGGCACGGGTGAAATATGCGACGACTTCACGAGACCGCGGGTTTTACGACCCCTGACGACTAAACAATCCCTCACTTAAAAAAAAAATATAGATATATTATGTATACAGTATACGAGTATATCCTAAAAACACGAGCAAACAATACGTAAACACTGACTCGTATTGTATATTTTCATTGATTTGTGAACGGCTAATCATATTTTTTGTCTAATAAAACACAAAATAACGATACATAGATACAAACCCTAACCTCTATTCGTATAAACAAGAATAATACATACACATTCCATAAGTCGCACTGCACCCCGTGTATGCAAAGGGGAATAAATTATAATAAAACGACCTATGTAAAAGGCGTATTTAATACGAAATTTTCGGGGAAAAAAAAAAAAAATGAAAACATCATATTTACTCGAAATACATTATCACAATTATTATTATTGTATAAATCGTTTTCCGGGGACGGTGGAGTACCTAATGTTCGTGAAAAATCGGATTTTATCATAATACAGACTACGGAAGAAAAATTATCTGGGTTCTCTCGGATGTTCCAACCCCCCCCCCCTCTTCTCTCATAATCATATATAGCGATAGTTATACCTTTTACTTTTTTGAAAACATAATAACCGTCACGTGATGTGTTTTATCTAGTAAAAAAATCCCTAATAAAGCACAGAAAATATTATAAATTGTGTGAAAAGTCAATGTATTTACGTCAATATTATATAAGTTTGATCTTAACAAAGTTGACATAATAATTATGCCAGCGTAAAATAAACTATTAAATAAATAATTGAAGAAAACAATCTCCGGATTACAAGTAAACTTTGTTGATAAAATATTAAACGACCGAGAAAAAAAAAAATTAATTTTAAAATTAATTACTTTGATACTTAAAATAATTAATTTACGTTAGTATAGGTATATGCAATGTTTGGAAATAATGCATTCACTGAATTCGTGAATGCAATTACCTACATTTTTAATGAATAGTGAATGCGAATTAATTTATTTTATGTAGGAATCTGAACGCCGCAATGATAGAATTCCGAAAACAAAAATATAATAAAAAGTTTTAATTTTAATTTTTATACTTTCAATATTTTGACTAACGATTAATGGAAATTTTGATGACTGTGAAATGCAATCATTATGACAATAATTAGGAATGCATTACTGAGTGTCAATGGAAAGGTATTTCTGTTTAAAACAAATTTTTATCAACAATGAATGACATTTAAAGTAATGATGTCAACAAGCGAAATGTAATTTTTTAATATTTTTTTTTCAGTGCGATTTTATGGCTAATTAGTAAACGGGTATTTGGTTCCTAGATAATATTCATCAAGGGAGCACCATTTGGGGGGTTTAAACGCTAACCTCTATCAACTACACACAAATTTCATAATTTTTTAGAAGTAATTCTTTTCATATTACAATTAAAACTGTTTTAACTATATAACCCCACTTTGTTGTCTTATTTATTTATTTACAAATATCTTGAGTTTTCATCATAATAATAATAATAATATCAACAAACAAGAATTTGCATCGTACCTTTATATTGTTACTTATTAGTAGGCTTGGGACTTTCAGTATTTATTTATTTTGTTGGTTTAAAATATTAAATCTAACAGAGTGCTACGGAAATATGACATGTTACGAGTTCAAATATGAAATATTGAAATGTTAATTATTAATATATGTTATGTCTTACTTCGGTTTTTTTTTTTTTTTTACTTTAAATTCGTTAAGTCCCGAACCTTGTTTATAATAGTTATATTATATACTTATATGCAAATTAAATTCACATAATATAATCAATTCACGTCTTAAAAGCATAACGTAGGTATAAAATTCAGTTTCCCAAAGTTATATTATTATACAATATAATATAACGCTTCCGAAAAATCAACGATTTATACGTTTCGAAAATGGATAAAAAAAAAAAGGGTTGTTATTTCACACCATATGAAGAAAAAAAAGTACATGAAAACACATAACGAACAAAAACATTTAAGAAAAAAAAAAAAATGCGCCAGAACGCTCGCAGCGTTTCTCCCTTACACAAAAAGTGAAAATAAATCGTTTAAAACACAATTACAAACCGAATTATTATAGACGAGAACAACAATAAAACTAAAAAAAAATTAACACTTGATTATGTCTAGTTCGCAAATAAAAAAATAATAATAATTACCTATTTGCGTAAAAAATGTATTAGTTATTTTTACACGTTAAAAGTTGTTGTTTTTTTTTTTTAATGTGGGTAACATAAATTAAAAAGATCAAATAAAAAAAAAAAAAAAACTGACCAACCGATATTCTAAAATACATATTTACATAAGGATATAGGTTAAGATAAAATATGTTAACATTGTATTATTATGATATTATTCACGTTTAAAATTTACAGAAAAATATTTCAATGTCGATAATACACTGCCGCCGTCGTTCAATGTCCAATACAAGGATTAAAATTTACAACAATCATTATACACAGTGTGCAATAATTGTTTATTACTATCACAGGGCCTGGACAACGATTAGAACTAACGCGGTCAGTGTGTACAGAGTGTTCGGCATATCGTACAGAGCAACCACACAAATAATTTCTCTTGGGCTACAGCACCAGCCCGCCTACCGACAAAACGACAGACTTTAAAACGTGGATAACATCTCGTAGACGGAAATCACCAATTTCAACACCGGATTGCGTCCAGACTACTTATACAATTTGCAATATGGGTAATTGCTACTTGAAAATTAAAAACGACTAGCGATGGTTTCACGTCTAAAAATAAGGATGACAAAAAATTACACTAGGCAATAATGCGACAAAGTGCGAAAAAATGTAATACGATATACGTTCCGAGATAATGAGTGTTTTATGTTATGTTGGTCACCCTGTATATTAATACGCATCAACACTCGTGGCGCGTCATATTATAGACACAAGAGTACCTAATTTAATAATTATCGCTGGTATTATTGAAGATTATACCGGCGCGGAAAATCTACGGAAAATTCTCGGGCTAGTGAAGTAATATGAATAAGGACAAGGGGACTTCCTTCCGAAAACAGGATTACACGTTGGATATAATCCGGAATACTCCGCTAGTACGGTGGGCGGCTGCATCAGAGTTCCGTCCTGAATGTAAAATTCGAATTTAAGGATATACTAGTTCCGTCCAGGGTTTTTAAAATGGATATACTAATTCCGTCCCGTGTAATTTATTTAATCGCACGAGTTCCGTCCCGTTTTGTATTTTCCACATTATATCAAATAGGGAGCCGGTTGAAACGCCGACAGTCAAAATATCGACAAGTTAAAATGCCGACAGGTCCAATACGTCGAGAAATTAAAATAAAATAAATATATTAATTATGCGAATAAAAAAAAAAATATATTATACATTTATACATAAATATATGAATTATATAGATAAAACAAATATGATTGCATATAAATTATAAACAAAAATAAAATGTATGAACCATGAAATGAAATAAAATTATAATGTCATATTGTGAGCGATTCCTCTTAAAAACTCTAATAACTGGAACGTTTCCGCGATTTCGTATTACGTTTTGGATTCTGTCCTCTCGTTGTTCACTTTTCTTTTTTGAACGTGGACGAGGGGTACTCCACGAAGTATTGACTCGATCATTATTTCTGTATTCTTTTATTCTTTTTGTAATTCTTTTATTAAGTGGTATACTCCTACGTGCGATTCACCAACAAGACACTCTCAACACGTCGATGCCAAACTTCGATATTATTTTGTCTTCTTGGAATATTTTGATTAAAAACAGATCACAATTCTGGTGAAAATAATGGTAATTCTCAAACAAGGTTGTCATTTCGTAGTGTTTTTCGAACTTGATCAAGAACATAATTATCATCAAACCACATTATTAGACGTTCCGTGCCAGATTCTATTTCTAGTTGTTCTCTAATTTCAGCAAATGCCGCCATCGGTATTTCTTCTGGTGATAAAAAAGCAAGAGCAAGGCAAATGACGGGAAATACTATTTATTTATCGTTATCCGTGTATATAAAGCTGCATACGCCATTGAGTGAGTATACGGTACCCAAAATGAATACCGTTCACTTTATACTTTTATCCGTTCACATATCAACGTTAAATTATAAATTTCGTTTTATATTTTTCGATATTTTGTACTTGTCGATGTTTCGACCGTCGACATTTTAACTTGTCGACGTTTCGTACCAGACCCATATTAATATAGCTTACAATTTACGATTACGGTAGCAATTTTATATAATTTAGAAATAAGAAAAAAAGATAATATTACTTTTGTTTATCACGCTAAATAATCGAATTTAATAATATTGTATTATTTAGAAATAATGATAATATTGCTTTCAGTTATCGCGCTAAATAATCGAATACTTTAATATTCTTTGAATTTTTTCTGTATTTTAAGAAATAAGAAAAGAGATAAGAAAAATGTCTGCATAAATGATTATTATTTTTTTTTTATCTCATATAAATTTGATACAATTACACATTTTTATTTATGAAAGTATAAACTAAGTTTGAATTTTTTGTATTTAACATTTATGTATTTTTACATTGAAAAGAACATTTTTCATCAGTACGGAATTGGTATATACATTTTTAATAATCGGGACGAAATTGGTATAATATCTTTTTTTTCACTCGGGACGGAATTGGTATAAAAAATGGTTATTGGGACGGAACTCGGATGCAGCCCGCTGGGCAAACCACGCTCGACCAAGTCAGAATGCACTGTGCGCCACTGTTGCAGGTGAGAGGTCGTCAATTCGGAAGGTAGGATAGTAATGTAGTCGTTTTTACGATTTTCATTAAAATTTTAATTATAACAAACTTTTACCGCCAAATACAATTTTTATTCATAGCATCGTATTAAATTTCCAAACACTTTTGTTCGGCCGAACGATTCACACAGAAACTACGATACGTATTAATTATTGATATGTATGTGCGTAATGAATAACGACGGTATTTTTTTTTATATTTTTCCGTTCATCATTCGGCAATCAGCATTCATCTTTTTTTTTTTATATATATATATATATATTAAATTCAACGTAAATATAATTCCAGTAGAAAAAAATTAGGTATCCTATTTACCTGACCTCTGAGAGGCTTTTTAAGTGGGTGTTTTATTATTTTTTTTTTTTTCGAAAAACGGACGGTCAAATACGAATAAAAGACAGGCAACAGTTAAAAAAAAAAAAAAAAACCCAAAATTTCACGGGAAGCAATGTTATTCGAGTGTGGCCCACACACTAATAATACCGGGTCGTCTACGAAAAGATGGTCGCAATAGTTGATTGTTCCCGGCGAAGTGTCCGTTATTCTGATAATATGTTTATCTATTCTGCGCTGCTATATTATAATATTTTCATTTAATGTCACCGAATAATCCGACTATTATTATCGTGTGCGTGTCGCATATAATGGTACATTTAGTCCTAACCTAACCGTAATAGTTATTTTATTAAAATGAAAAAAAATAAAAAAATAATAAATATATATTTGATCAAAACGCGAATCGGCCAGTGAATACATTTGCAATATACACACCCAGGGGGAGGGGGGGGCGTATCTATAATGACGTGCCCCGAGTAAATACCGTACACCGGATGGGTAGGTACATACTATGGATATTTACCTGTAGGTTTATTTACCCACTCGAAATTTGGGTAAATACTTTTTCTTCAATCCGGTCTAGACATATAACTTCGATGAGAAAAAAGAAAAACAGAGGAACACTGATTGTAATAAATATAAAAATATTATATTTGAAACTAAAAGTGAAGTTTGTTTTTACGAATAAAGATCGAGTTGCCGGTTTCATGTTCAGAACGGATTGTTCACTTAAAATGAGTATTGAATTCAAAATGAATGAAATTAACGAAAACTTTATAAACATTATTATTTATTTACACTGATAATCGAACCGGAAAAAACCGTGGAAAAGTCAGAAGACGATCATAATGGAGTATTGCGGCATCCGTGAATTGGTGTTTGTATTCAAAATAAATTAACCCAAAACAACAATATTTACCGGGTAAATACCCATCACTAGGCGTAGCCCCCAACGGCTCTGTGAATGGAATTGTTTGTATCCGTCACCTGTGGAACAAATGATAAAATATACGCCACTGTACACAAAAATAAACCCGGATTTACTCTTACAATTTTCATTATTGTGACCGGGGGTCAAGCGAACGTATACGTACAGTGGTCACTCGGCATTAATACACTTTGTCGTGAATTATGATATTTCGCACACTAAAATCTCTCTCGAAAAACAAATAATCCAAAAAAATAGCGCCATCAGCGTTGCGCGCGTAATGTTCTTCATTTGAAGTTTGATAATCGGTCAATTCACTCGGATATTAAAACTAACGGCACAATGTCGTTCCTGTTGAACGCAAATGCGCACGTACGTTTGCGAGATTTGTAACTTTTTAAACAATCAATATTACAGGTTTTAATCGAAACCGATTTTAAGGGTCCATTGGTTTGGGCACAAACGAGCCTAGTAAATTGTTTAGACGTTCAGTGATCGACACAGATTTTTGTTCGGTCCTAATTTGACACCGCAACAGAAATGTCGTCTGTTGCCGAAACGGAGGAGCTCTATATTCTAGCTATAGTGTGCGATAAAAAAAAAAAAAAAAAAAAAAAAAAAAAAATGAAAATAGAATAAATAAAAAGAAGCGGTCAAAAATACAAGAACGGTCGCGCGTAAATATAATCGGTGAACAATCTGGAGAACCATACGGGACTCGGTGTACAGATTAATGTTCCGCACGCAGTTCTTCACGAGTACGCGACACGAACGTGCACGTCCCCACGTGCACAGTACCGTATGATATCCGGAGACACGCAACATTTCATAGCGACTGGCCCCCGTAACAGTATTTTTTTATGATACGATAATATCGATTCAATACTTTACGTAAATTCAAAACCGGTGCAACTGTCGTAACTACCGCATCGCCTGCACTCGCACAGTCCAAAATTTCGAACTGTGCAGCCGTACGGTTTTCATTAATACACAACACCGCAAGTTCGCGCAGATTAACTGAGCGTGTAAGCCCACCGCCTTCGGAAAAATACAGTCGGCAAATACTTCCATGGCACAGCGGCGTTAAGGTTTGGGGGAGGGGGGGGGGGAAATTATGGCGGCGCCGCCGTATCGAAACAATTTGTTATTTTACCCGCGAAGAACCGTTCGTTCGCACATTTTTCGACCGGGAAATTTCGGATCATAAAGTAAGGTGGTCAGTTTGTTAACAATTTTAGGATTCCATATCCCGGCGATCCGACGTGGTCTCTCGGTACACCGTTTCGAACTTGTACACAGCAATTTAAAATTATTCTCATAGTTCGTATAACATCTACACTGGGCATAATCGGCTTTATTTCGAACAAAAACGAGCCGACATTTTCTACGATGACGACCTATCATTTGGACTGACGTGTTTGCTGATTACGAAAACATATGGCCCGTGTTTCGCGGAACTGTATAATGAAAAAGTAACGGACATACTTCGCACGGTTGGTGAGCCACTGTCGTACGGTGAGAAGTTGGTGAGGCGGCGGGGGGAATTTAATGCGTATCCGTGCGTAACGCGTGTTACAACCGCCGCTAATGAAAAACGATTCTGAACGGAGTTCGGTTAAATAGTGTTGCGCTGCCAACGGATACGTCATATTATGGTAAAACAATTACGTATAACAAACGCATTACTTTTAACGGCATTTGTTTATTATTGTACCCACGTTCCCGATTTTTCCTACGTTTAACCCGGGTTCGCCGGAGAAAACCAACAGGCGCCGGACAGCAACGAGGCGCCCAGGGACGAACGAAAAATTAATTTGGCAAACGTGCCCTGTGTCTATACAATATTTTGCGGTCCGGATCCGATCGAGAACGTGTACTTATTTATGTGAACACAATTTGCATAGTACAGGCGTGTATAGCCTTGCGCTCGATTGTCGCGACGAAAAGTCCACCCCGGACGACGCACAGCATTTAATAATATTGAAAAACTATAGTGTAACGATATTACGACGATATTCTACACGTTTCGAAACGGGCGGTGAAAAACGCAAAGCGAATCGCACGTCACGCGATGGTGTGTCGACCGAGACGCGAAAAACAACGGGAAAAAACGCCGAAAATTCTGTCACGTTGGGCGGGGGAAAAAAAAATCGCCCCGTCGTCGTGCGTATTCGGCGGAATCGCTTGACCGGCGGGGATCGCGCGATACGCACGAGGAACGAATCGCGGCAACCCGGACCGCGCACCGCGGGCGTATCGGAAATATTTCGTCCGCGCACCCATTATCAGGTTCGATTGAAATTGTAATCATTGTACCCGGGGCACTCTATTGCCTCTAGTCGTTTAAAAAAACCGCGCCGACCGCGGTTTCGTTTCCCTGGAGATTCGGACCGCCGCGAATTCCGAAACGCCGACAAGAGGCCCGCGCTCGGAACGGCCGGGGCTCTACGACAGCGGTGGTATCGCGAAGGGCAAGTTTCGTTGACCGCGGAGTGTTGGCGGCGCTTATCTCGCGGATGTCGACCGAAAATTTGTTTATTTATTCATTCCTGTAAGGTCCTGCCCGTCTGTTATATTGTTCGGAACAACACGCAAACGTGCTGGAGAGCGGTTACACGTGAAACGATCCGCGCGAAGAAGCCCCGCCCGTTTCGAATTTTCGATTTTTTTTTTTTTTATTATTATTTATTTACTTTATATTAACAAAATTTGTATATTTCCAGAAACCCAATTAGTCTCGACGATCGCGACGCCCGTTTTCGGTACGGCCGTCTCGGGAGGGGATTTCCCGGAACGGATAAAATCGGCGAAATGTTCGTAAGAGCGTTTGTCAGAACGGAGTGGTATCGCGCAGTTCTTCTTTTGCAGAAGAATTTCGCTCCGTCGAGTACCCGTGGTCAGAGGCCAGGCCATTGTTACGCAGTGGCACGATCAGAAACGAAGGCAGGGACGGGGCGCGGTCAGCGTTAGTATTTTTCTCGGGGAAATATATTTTGGAAAAGTCCGAATAATTATTACCGGTACGCAATGTCGTCGGAACAGTAGGGGCGGCGCGTCGGACGTTACTACAGAATTCCGACGACGGCGTTCTTCTGCGTACGCCAATCGGCGGTACGGTCGCGCGCGCGAGAATTGATAATGACATACGAATTTTCGAACGTTAGCAAACAACACGGCGGCGGCCGCGCTAACAACGAACACGGGCTAGGTGCCTACGCGACGCTATTGCGCATTACGCGGCGACGCGAACGGGATAACGAAAAAACCGCGAGAAAACGGCCGAGCGGAACGGCGACGCCGCGGACCGTACGCTCGAAAGCAGCCGAAGTGCGTTTGAATAATTTCGCCGGATTTGTAATACAATTGTGTATTTGTTTTAATCCGCGAGGTTTTTTTTTTTTTTTTGTTTTTTTTTTTCCCCCGTCAACGACGATAATAACCGCGCGCGACGACAAGCGGCGGTCATGACGAAATACCCGAACGAGAACGTGAAATTCAAATTCACGTACGCGGACGTTGGTAACGACCGGCGATATTTTTACCATTATCGAGCAGGAAAAATATAAAAAAAAAAAAAAAACCGTACGCGTCTTTCGTCCGCGAATCGTAAATAGGCAATAGACGACGACGGGAAAAATTAAAACCGCGCCGCAAACCTATTTCACAGTGTTATGGCGGTTGATGGGGGGGGGGGGGGGAAACGGTTTGTTGTTTTATTTTTTTATTTCACATACGATCGCGCGTAGAATCGTTTTGTCGACGATACAGAAATAAGTGCGCACACTCGAGATATCATAGCGACGCGACTTCAATAATACCATAGTATACCGCGAGAACAATAACACGAACGGCGGCGTACGCAAGGAGGGGGGAGGGGTTACATCCTTCCCGCGACCCGTCGGCTCAGAAACACAGAAAAAAAATAATAAATAAATACGATTAATTTAATAACACGTTTCGGCCGAGTCGCGAGGAAAACCACCGCCGGCGTATTTTGATCGGAAATCGGCTTTTTTTTTTTTTTTTTTCCCCAGGACCCCGGGCTCTTTTAAATTATTACCGAGTCATTCCCACAGCCGAGTCGGGTGGAGAACGGCGATTCCTATTTGCTACACGCGTCTCGCCCCATTGAAAACGCTCGGACGCGCCACTGAACTACCGGCCATACGAACCATCCGTTTCTACGGAAAAACCCGCACCACCGTATTTATTATTAAGTACCGAGTACCGTCGGGCCGCTCGCCCAGCTCAGCATGGCGGGTACAGCGGGTACCGTTCGAGTGTCTGCCGCTCTCGATACATATCGAAAAGTATCGACTTTTTAACGCACAAAAAAAAAAAAAAAATATATTATACAATTTAAGTATTTAAGCGGGTGTAAACCGTCACTTTACCGTTGTTTTTCGGGAGGGGGAGGGGGTCGAAAACGCACGGTTTTCAAAACGCGACTAACATCGAAATTCCGTAAATATCGGCGTGAATAAATAATTAATACATTTCGACACCCGCGATAATTATTATTAGCAGGGATATTAAGTATGGGTCGGCGGGACACAGTGGCGGAACATTATTCGTGTGACCGCGACGGCACGGCACGCGGCGTTTCAATAGTGTCCCCGTCCCCGAAATTAAAAATCTAAAAGCGCCGAAATTGATGCACAAGGATAACGCGGACAGCGAATATTTCGAGCCGCTTATTCGTTACACGCCGTCAAAAGTCGAAAATCGTTTCGGAAAGAGCCCGACGCGTACGCGCGTATTGCCGGATGCGTATATCGGAGCGTAGAGCGAGACGCGGTTAAACGGAACACCCTGTATCGAGTACTCGAGGTGTACTAGGCGACAAAACTGCTGCGCGTTAGTAGTAGAGACGGTAATGGCAGTGGTAGTAATAGTAGTAGTGGTAATAGTTGTAGAGGTAGTAGTAGTAGGAGGTGGGGGCGGTGGAGGAGGTGGAAGAGGAGGCGGTCAAACAACAAAATACGGTATTGTATGGAAAAAAAAAAAATAAAATAAAAAGGTACGTCGCGGCGATACATATTATAAAATAACAACAACACACATGTTTCTCGGCCAGAATTTTCTCTTTCGATCGCCTACGATAACAAACGACGACGATAACGGACGGACATAATCCTATTCTCCCCGGCCCCGGTGGGTTCCCGCGGCGGCGAGTGCAGAACGCGCGGGCAATAAAATGATTACCGCCGTTCGCGACTGACCCTCCGCGGGTTTACGCCGGACAAGAAAACAAAATAATTTAATATCAGTAATAGAAACCGCGCCGCTTTCGTTTCGTTACGGTGCGGTTCGACCGGTAACCGGATCGGCCGCCGATGTAACGATAATAGAACCGTTGTTTGACGTTTTTTTTTGTCCCTTTTCGCATGTCGTATAAACGCGAACAATAATCCCACATAATACGGCTGCCCCCACAATCCCCCCCCTTCCCCCCCCCCGGTCCGGAGAGCGTTTCGGCGTTAATTAACAACGAGGGGAACCGCCGGCGGCTGCGGGCGCGCGCTCTGATGACACTCGGGAATCGCGACAAAACCTAAAAAACCGGACGGTAAATTCGAAGACGGCGACGCGACACGCGACGAGAACGGACGACGGATGTACGTGTGTGCGTCGTACGGAGTATGTTTTTTTTTTTTTGGAGGGGAGGGATCTCAACCGGAAACCGTGACCAACGGAAAACGATTCTGAGCGGGCATTCCATCAGTTTTTTGTCCCTCGTCAGCAAACCGGTGTTGCCGCGTACGAACCGCGGAACAACGAACGACCTCCCCGACGCACCGATCGGATCGAAAAAAAATTCTACGAGAAAATTGGCGTACAGTTTTCGACCGTCGGAGATTTCCGATTGAAATGTTTTTTATTATTTTTCTTTATCACAGACGCACGCAAAATAATAAAGAAAACACGTACACGCACACGTCGCATGTGCCGGGATAAAACCGATACACTCCGGTTTACTCGGGGAATCGAAAACGGAAAAATACGGAATAATAATAACCCGGGGACGTCCACGAAGAAAAAAAAAAAACCGTCGGCAGTGCACGGTAAGTATAGCCGTCGGAACGAAACGCTTTTCTACGGACGGGTAAAACGATCGTGTTTAAATGCCGCGCAGCAACACGCGGCCGCGACACTACAGACGGACGCGAGTCGTACGCGCCGTGTGCCGCGGCGGCACCGAGAGAGCCCCGACGACGATTATGACGTTATCGGCCGTAGAGATCTCGGCTTACTCAGCTGTGGGCCGGCGGCGGCCACAGTGGCGGGGGATCGGCGGCGTTGTTGTTTGCAACGGGCGCGCGCTCAGTGGGCCCCAAACCGAGCGGCGGCGCGCGCCAGCGGCCAAGTGCGCCACACGACGGCGGCAACACGCCAACCGACGACGGCGTTTTCGTCACCGCCGCCGTCGTGCCCCACAAAAACGTGTCAGCTCCCGTGGTCGATCGTCGGTTACCACTACGGAAATAATCGGGCCCGTCCGTGTGTTCGACCACCCGACACACACTCTCGTATACGGATAGATGTTCTTTTATCGTCGGTTTTTTACTACTCCTGTTCTCGGTTTCATACGGGACCCGACCACGTGAACGCGAGAGCGGCAGCCGGGCGCGCGCGCTCCGTTCGTAAAATACGTTCGACGGACGCGATTTACTCGACACGAAACGCCGCTGCGTTATTATTAAATAACAACAATAATAAAATTAAAAAAATTCGTCACGATCGCCCGGAACCGCGGACACTCGTGGACCGGCCGGCTGGGAGGGGGAAGGGGGGGGAGGAGGGAGCCGGTGGCCCGTGAAAAATAAAAATAAAATACTCACCATCCATCATAGAAGCGTTGTTTTCGGCACGTTTTGTTGTTTCCGATGGTCGACTGGTATAATGTGCGCGGCGAAAATTCCATTTGCGGCGACGACAACGAACGACGCAGAACAGCTCATAACCGAACGCGTACACCGTCGAATGCGGACTGACGAGGGAGAGGGACGACGGCGGGCGGCCGTGTGTGTGCGTTCACCTTTCGGGGCGGCCGGTGGGGACGGTTACGGCGACGGTGCGCGACCGCGGCCGAACGGCACGTTGCCGGCGGAACGAACGGTCGCGCGCGACATCGATACCACCGCGCCGAAGTGAAACGATATTATCGATAGTTCGGTCGGTACACGCCGATGGTCCGGTACGCGGCCGTCACTCGCCGCCACGGAAATTCGGTTCGTCGCGTTTCGAGAAACGACGCTGCTCGTTCCTTCGGCCGACGCGTACACAACACAACGCCGGCGGTTTATACGATTTTTTTTTCCACGCGACACGACACCGGACGCCCGTAGTAAACGAGTCGTAGTCCGCGCGGTACGACGCGGTTACGTGCCGTGCGCCGTGGTGTCGCACCGACGGGACGTATCGATAACCTCGACGCGAACGCACAATCGAAACACGCGGCGGCGATCGGCGTATATCGGCGGGCCGGCCACCAGTGCCACACCGCCGACGGATTGGCGCGCCGGCCTGCTGTTCTCGTCGCGCGCCGCCGGTCGGGTTTCCGACGATTCCCCGTGTGTGCGGCCGCGGCCGCGGATCGACCGGACGGTCCCGTCGCGGCCCAACACCTCGGACGCATGCGGCAAAAACCGCGAAACCCCTCGGAATCGGTTCCCGGAGCCCCGCGGACGTCGTGCACAGACGTAGACAACGCCGCAATCACACGACCGGCCGAATAATAGTAATCACGCACCGTGATATTTCCATTACCACGACGGAAACTAATGTGTTCGATATTTGACGGCGCGACGTCCGTATCGTAAACATTACCGTCCGCAACGAGAAATTATCAAATAAACCGATAACGCCGGACACTATACCGCGTCGTCCTCGACTTTGTCCCGAACGTCCCGAAACGGTTGCCTACGTATTACGCGCGTAGTCGGGTTCGGTTTGGTTTTTTCGTTTTTCGTATTTGTTTATTTATTTTTTTCCTATCCGCTTCGCACACGCTCGGCGAACCGCACCGCGGCGGCGTGTTCGTCGTCCCGTCTCCGTGACGTACAAAACGTATTTTTCGACGTGCACCTCTCTGCGTTGCGACGACGATAACGATAATTTATCCCCGGGTTTCGGATATCGTAACGCCGTTCAAGTATTCTATTTATATACCCGCGGTGGTTTGTTTTTTTCCGAATAAATATTTTATGTATTTACGCGTGCGCGCGCGCGCGCGCGCGCGTGTGTGTGTGTGTGTGTGTGTGTGTGTACGATGACGCGTGTTCAATCGATTCGTATTTTATTTTTATTTTTTTTCGTAATTGAAAAACCTCCGGATACCCATAATGTTGTGTATCTAATGATAATAATAATAACAATATTATTACGACGTTGAAATTTCGTTATTCCATTCGAATCACGCGTCCCACGGTAAAATCGAATTTTTACCGAGATTACAGACGCGCGTTAGCGACGCGCCGTTCCTCCTCGACCGCTCCCCGCCCCCCGCCCCTAAACCGGCCACCCCCCACCCCTCCCCAACCCCGTACGCGGGGATTCGTAATGTTTTTCCGCGTAAAAATAACGTTTCAAATTAATTCGTCGGCGTGTCCCCGCCCGGTACATTGTGCTCGTTTGTACGTACAGGCACCGTAAAACATCGCGTCCGTTCAATATCCCAACGAACGTGAACATTATTATTTTAAACGTTCACGCGAATATCTTCGCCGGGAAACGATCAAAACGTTATTGCGCGCGACGGGTGATATTTTACACGAAAATCCCGTCGGACCCGCAGCAACAATAGTTTTGGAGTGTCCGAACGGGTTTAAGGTTAAACTTTTAAAATTTCCTTCGGTTATCATTGTTTTTTTCTTCTGCTATTTCAGCGCACGATTTCTCTGCCCGTTTGCGCATTTGTAAACGTGCACGTATCGATATTTTATTTCGCGCTATTAATCGCTTTCGAAAGGGGGGGGGAAAGACGAAATTTTATTTTCAATCTATCAGTGTATACGACTAATTGAGGGCCACCTGGAGATATGTATGAAAAGACGCGACGTACTTGGCACCACGGGTGGGCCACTATTGTAGGTGAAAAGTCGGGAAGGTGGGATACAGATTTAATTTACACGCCTATCATCGGTGCGCAACGATTAATCGTTGTTAACGAAAAACAAAAGCCGTAATATTCAAGGTTTTCGTGAAAATTTGGTATTAAAAAAAATTCTATATTACACTCAATTTCTGTCTTTTCACCACGAAGTGTGACTTATAATGAACTTCTTGTTGAACTGTCAAGCATTTCTGTTTGGTTTAACAATTTTATCCACAGATTGTCTACCGAATAAAATTATGTAAAAAACTATTACGCAAAATTAAATTGTCTTTAAATAGTTCAAAAATGACTAAAATGTTTTGAAAATTTTACGTTAAAGTCTCTACGAATATGTTTAACTAAATTACAACAAAAAACCAAATTGAAATTAATAAACGCTTTTTTTTCGTAAATGTTCTCGTTTTTTCCCAATTATTAGCAATTAAAACCGCTTGGAAAATCAAAAAAGTCGACCACTCTGATAGAATTGCTTTTTTTATGAGTCACTAAACTTGAAAACCTTGAGCAAGATTCCCGATAGAAAATTTGTTTACGGATATAAAGAAAAAAAAAACGAACATTGTAAAACCAATACATTGATCGCTTCGGTCAGAATCTAAAAATGTTGTTTCATTGAAATTGTTAACTTTCTTTTTTTTTTTTTTTTTAAAACATAATTAGTTTTCGAGGTTGTAACAATCGGTATCACTACACCACGGCCGCGGTCGTGTGCTGAAAACTCGATGGTGCACTATAATATTTTTATTAATTTTATCATACAGCCTAATTACCTATTGATGACTGATACAATGTCATGTTGTGTGTAATTTCGTTCGTTTAAAACTGAGCACAAAGTAATTTTCGACAACTATAAACAGTGACGTGCCCGGGAATTTTCAATGGGACGGGATCTAACGAATAAAAAATGACGGATAAACAGTAAAACCGTCGTGTCCGCCCAACTCGACTACGGGAGTTGGCAGTTTAAAAGCCGGACGCTGAAACGAAAAAGTAAATTTCTAATCAACACACCGAGCTTTTCCTCGGGAAGATAAGGTCATCATATTTTGTTGAATTTCTAAGCCGGTGAGGAGGGGATATAAAACCCTTAACTTCACCCCACCCCCCTCCGCCCCACATGCGCACGCCACTGACTGCTGGCGGTATTCAAATGAACAGTTCGGGTGAAATTGCGAATAACCCGATACGTTTAAAGTGTAAAATTGGTGAAATCGACAAATGTCGGTGAGCCGTTTAGACGGCCGTACTGATGTGTAGTAAAACAAATTAATGTTTAATCCGAGACACGCGTAATTATGCGGGTTACGCGTGGGTACTATTGCTGTACGCGTCAAAGGGTTTGCTTGGATCACTCGGAAAGCAATTATTCACTTATATGCCATGGACTTTTTTAACGTTTTGAAAATGTTGCGATTTCACATCGTCCAACAGGTACAATATTATAGAGACGCTTGCGCTACGCGTATTATTACTTTCAATAATTTCCAGTCGATTAAAAACAAATTTCGTTTCGCTCGATTGTACCGCTCCTGCAGCTGCAGCATACTTGTACATAATACGATCGGTGCACACGAATTGCGTCCCGAAATGTCTTTTCCACATGAATTGCGTCCGGATTTCCCTACCCATTTTACACGGACTCGGGACTTATTACTGTCGGTAGATAAGAACTATTGATTTTTGCCGTTGTTGTGCAATTACAAGTAATGTAACATAATAATTGTAATAAAAAAAAAAAATCGTAAAGCTCTTCCGCAACATTTCGCTTTAAATCATTACTCAGTTGGTCAGCTGTTGTCTAGCGGTTTAACGGAATCTTTGATACGGTTACGATCATTTAGCACGTTCTATAATTTCGTTTTTATCATTTGGTTTAATGTATGGCTTGCACGTTTTTTTTTTTTTCCACAGCGATTCCAACGTTGAATATCGTTCTTCAGAATGCTATGGTAACGGAATTTGTGTCCGTCTATATTAAATAAAGTACGATCGACGACCCAAACCAGGCTAAAAGTAAAATTAAAAATAATATAATACGGGAAATATAATTTTCAGATTGTACGGATGTCGTGTGGTCGTTTAGATAAAGCCGGACGCGATTCGTGTGCGGCCAACGTAATAGCATCGTTCGTTATTATTACGTCACAGTGTTTTTAGGAGAAAAAAGAAACAAGAAAATAAGAAGGGTAGGGGACACCTATGTTTAGTTATATTGTATTCAAGTACGATATTTTATGGTATACGACACCCCGCTATACACTGCTGTCTGCATTCAATACTGCAAGGGTGAAACTTGTACAACGCGGGGTTCGCCAAAAAGTTTAACCGCACCCTGACTAGGGGGTATATCATAGTGCATTATTATTATTTACGTCTTATTGACTGTATAATGCATCCGATTGGCTGTTATTATTACCATTATTCTTCGTATTATCAATAGAACACGGAATAAATAATAATAACGCGTTGACAATTGATTGATAACACCTGCACGTGCGTCTATACGGGGTTTATTACGAGTTACGACGACGGTGTTGTGTACAACCCGGATTTATATTCGCCTTAAAACGCCTAAAATATAATGCTAATATTATGTAGAAAAAAAAAAAAAAGCAAAACTATTAATATTCTCCTATAATCTCTTGAAAATTAGAAAAACGTGCACAAATTATCAATATACATGAATATAATATAATTTATAATATGATTTTTTACTTTACAAAAATGATAAAATTAAATATACATAATATATGTACATCGATGGTTGTTTGTTAAAATATTTTTTCGGGTACATCAAAATTAAAATTAATATTAATTTAAAATTACAGTAAATTAGTATTTTTTTTTTTTTTTTCAACAATTTATAAAATATTCCAAAAT